CATCCTTATAGAACAACTGAAGCCAATATTTTTCTGAATTCTGTTGTTCTGTCCGCTGCACTAGAGGTCGTGTTTTGTTTACAATTTGTTTCTTTTCATAGTCATTTAAAACCTCGTTTAAAACGATCTTGCTTGAAATGTCAACTTGGTGTAGCAAAAATCATCTCGGCCTAATATTAAAGTAAAACCAAATTAATGGAATTTTATAACAGGAAGAATCCTGAGCCACCTCCGGTATTGACCTTGGACTGGTGTAGTGGGTAAAAAAAGCTTTAAAATGACACCTTATTAATGGAAATTAGTGAAAAAATAAGGAGCTTTGGCGTACCGACAAAAAATAAAGCCCTTTAGAAATTATAATATAGATATAGAACTTATCACATATTCATTAATCATTAAATAGCCCTATATTAAATTTCGAATTTTCAAGTGCGTATGTAACATAACATATTTCAATATACGGGGTGACCCAAAAAAACAGGGACAATATTTAAAATTTTATTACTCAGCTGTTACAACAGCTAGAGAATTCTTTGTTGTGGCAAATGAATGTTTATTTGATGCCATTTGGTGTATCGTTACCATTGATCATCAGTGGTTGACGCAACGTCGTGCCTTTGTCATAGAGACTTTTTCAAGAGTATGTTTCTATCATTTCTACTCAACGTCAGTTTTGTGTTCACTTCGATGTCGGCCGTAATGGTGCAACCCCAAACCAAAAAACTACTCAAATAAGATGGGTAAGTAATTTCTGAACACGGCTTCTGTGCTCAAAATTAAACCTATGCAAATTTAAATTTAAATGCAATGTTCTGCAAATAGATGACTTGACGCTCGAAGCTCAGCACAATTGCGCGAACTTTTTCAATGTTTTCCGGCGTTCGAACATTCCGAGGTCTCCTACTTACTTGGTTTGCTTTTGAGTACAGAAGCCGTGTTCTGGAAATTACTTTATCCAACTTTGAATAGTTTTTCGGTTTGGGGTTGCACCATTACGGCCAAACGAAATTGACGTTGAGTAGAAATGATACCCAAATAATTATTCTTCAAAAAAGTCTCTAGGTCAAAGGCACGATGTTGCGGTAACCATTGATGATCCATAGTAACTATACATTTAAAGGCATCAAATAAATATTCATTTGCCGCATCAATGAACTCTCCAGCCTTTATAACAGCTGAAATTCAGCATAATTATTTTTAAATTGCCCTGTTTTTTGGGCCACCCGAAGGCAATTATTAAACTAAAAATAAAACCCTTACAATTGAATGATGGATTACCCAGACAGCACACTTTCTCCTCAGGACATCCCACGGATATTGCGACAGGATATGCAAGATATCCCATAGTGGTCCTATGGTCAACCTGGGATATCGCAGGATATCCACAGGAATGCGTAATGTCCCCGCCCGGGGATGTCCTACGGATAAGCTCACACGCATATCCGTGGGACATCCGAGGTCATCCCAGGGTAGTCCTCGGGACATTCTCAGGACATATGGGACTACTATGGGATGTCCCTGGGATAAATGTGGTCTGGGCCTGAACATAAAAAACACAAAATAATATAGATTTAGTATGAAAAGCTTAATTATAAGTTTAGTAAATTGATTAAATAGTTAATAAACACAAATTTTGAAGAAAAAACGAGAAAAAAGTTTTTGGCCCAGATGGGTCTTGAACCTGGTACCTTCGCCTTATGAGCCTCTTACCTTACCTCCTGAGCTATCTGCGCTTGATGATTTTGGGTGTTTTCAAGTGGTGAAAGAGTAGCCGACAGTTGCAATGGTCGCAATACTTAAAATATTTTTTATACTACAGTATATAATATGATTCTGTTAATCTGTTTAGGCCTCAAGTAGTTGAATTGTTTTTCTGGTAGTTGGAGAGGATACTGGTATTTGAATATAGATTATTTAATTACCATTAGGTTAGCACTGTTATAATTGATTGTTATATGATTAAAATTAGTTTTTGGTTGTTTTATTAATTTAAAGTTAGAATTCAATTCACATTTCACACAACTATGATAGAACTCTAGTTTTTCTGAACTCAGTGGTAGTAATATGTCAGTAAAGTTAAGTCAGCCCTTGCTAGCCACAGTATTAACAAGACATATTTTCAATCTGGGAAACCTTAAACTTTTAAAACAAATTATAAAACCTCAACATCTTAATGCGTGGGAATCTTATTTTTAGAAAAAAAAACAGACCAAAATTATTTGTTAAATAATGAAGACGGCCCAATTATAAATTCGGAATTACTGAAAATAATTACATCAAGAAACACACTGTAATATATCCAAAATTCAAAAGATTAATTTTTCTAATATTATTTTTTATTTTTCTAATATCCTTTAAATCATCTGTTTTAATTTTGTTTGAAATTAATTTATTAAGTAAATATTTACTTTTTGTATTACTGTAAACACAGCCTGAAGATGGAAACCAAGTTTCTGAAAGCGCTAGTGAAAAAAACAAATTATTATAATATTGGCCTTGTTGAACATTTAAATTTAGATATACATTTCATCAGTGGTAGTATTTTTTTTCTTCAGTTTCCCTAGTGGAAGACATCAATAGAAATCAATAGAAAAATCTATTGATATCACTAGATGCTTAGTGATATCAATAGATGTTCATGGATATCATTACAAGTAAATACAAACAAATAGACATCACTGAAAACTTAGTCAATACATATCACTAGACATCTATAAACATAAAATATATCAATATAGATCATTAGAGCAAACAAATCGTTCATTGATATCAAGAGAGAGTATTTTTTAAATATGTTAGATGTAAATATAAATCAATAGACATCAATACGGATAAATAAAATGAAAAATATCTCTAAAAAGTACCACATATGAACATTATGGATTATACAAAATACCAATGTAAACTTTGTGAAATAAACAGTAATAAAAATTTTATTTTTTGAAAAAAGGAAAAACTCTAGTTCTAGGTCATAGGCGTTAGCTGAGGTACCTAAAACTCAATATAGGTAATTTAAAAATATATAATTTTAAAATTGTTGCAAAACAGTTACAACTTGTATTAAAACTTATTTTTTAAACTGCCAAAAACTGATTGCTAAACATTAAAATTGTTGTAAAACAGTTTACAACTTGTACTAAAACTGATTTTCTTAAACTTCAAAAAAGTGGTTGTAAAACAATTTTAAAATTGTTGTAAAACAGTTACTGCTCGTATTGAAACTTATTTTCTCAACTCCAAAAAACTTATTGTTAATGGCTAAGACGACCGGCTTACATGCTAGAGTCCCCGGTTCAAATCTCAGGATCCCACTGAACTTTTTGCCAAGAATTTTTTTACTTTTTAATTTTTATTTTATTTTTAGTGCATAGTTGATATTATTTAATGTTTTGAAACAAATTAAAAATGGTTTTTTAACAAGCTACAAATTATTTTCAAAAAAGCTAATGACTCAGATCCTATTTACTTGTATTGATATGTATTGATGTGTATTGATGTGTATTGGCCCAAATACACATACGTAACAATACGTATCAATATACAATTTTTGTATTGATATATATTGATCTCTTCCACTAGGGTTGTTACCGGGACATTACGGGACATACAGGATATCCAGTGGATTTTGTACATGTCCCGGGATGTCATGGACATTCTGGGATATCCTATGGCATTCGTACATATCCCGGGACTTTACAGGATATCCTGAGGTTAACTTACAAATCCCGGGACATTACGGTATATTGTAGGATATCCTGTGGATTTCGTACTCGTCCCGGGATTTTGCGGGATATCCTAAGGATAGCGTACATATCCCGAGACATTCTCAGGACATATGGGACTACTATGGGATGTCCCTGGGATAAAGTGTGCTGTCTGGGTAGGGGTTTTACAACCCTCAAACTTTGGTATTTTTGTTTTTTGGACATCCAATAATCATTAAGATTCAGTAGGCAACTTGATTTGCATCCTAAAGTTTTTAAATTTAACTAAAGTAGAGCTCCACCATACAGAGTAGGCCTGTAACATTTTTACATATTGGCCTTATGAAACAAATATGGTACGTTATTTTTTCTGAAATAGCTTTGGGAGATTAACCCTTCCCGGACGGGTGACGGATATATCCGCCTTTCTCTTCAGACAGACTGGCAGGTGCTTGAGCAGTAACCATGTTTTGCTGTACCAAGGCGCCACTTTCCTGCTCTCTCCATGGCTGCGCTCACTCCCGCACTCCCCCCTCTCACCCACGCCAGCCCACCTCCCGAGCACCCCCAACCTCTCCTACGCTCCCCCCTCGACGTTTCACGCTCAACACTACTTGTCTTTATTTATTGTTCTTTATTTATTGCCTAACATTGTCATGGTCATATCTTTAAAGACGGGTGGCGGATATATCCGCTGCTTTTCTACTCATACGCGGACGGGTAGGGTAGCGGATATATCCGCATAGTTAAAAACGAGTAAAAAATTATTTTTTAGTATGAAGTGTTCCATTGTGTTTTATGTTATGTCAACTTGTATAACAAAACACAAATAAGGAAAATTAATTTTTATTTTTTCCTATAATTTTTTCCCGTTCTATGTCACGATATCGCCCATCCAGGAAGCGTTAAGCTTCCTTAAATGGCAGTTAAGTCTTAATAATTTTTATAACAACTTCTTTTAAGTTTTAGATAACAGTTTTAAAACTATTTTCCAAATAAACACATTTTGTAAAATAAAAATCAGTGTGTGATAAAGATTATCTAGTTTCAGTTTCATAATATCATAATAGTAGATAAGAGGCACATTCATCAGTAAACAGAATTTAAATGATAAAGTAGCAATAACATTTCACAGTCACATACTATTCATGAATATGTAAACTGTAAATTTGTTTTTATATATATTTAAGAATAAATTAACTATCACATTGTGTTTTAGTTTAAATTGTTTTCTTTCTTTACTTTTACCTACATTGTCATGTGTTGTTGAACCAAATGACACATTTAAGATGTGCTCTCCCCTTTTATTTAGTAAATGTACAACAACCCATAGTTTTCTTCAAGGAATTAATTGAATGTGAGTACACACTTCATGTCAATAAGTAACTACTGTAGCTTACTACTCTTACTACAGCATATATTTTACAACACAGCAAACAAAATGTAATTTGGATTTTGGGTATCAAGCTTAATGGACCTAAATATTATTTTAGCGAGACATAAGGAAAGTTTGTTATTTCACTTTTGTACCATAAGGAGAAAATATCGAATACTAGCTATAATAGCTGAAGGACAGTCTGCGATAATCTACTGAAGGCTACTGCTTACATTTACATTTAGCAAGGCTCTTATTCAGCTATGCTGTTTGCATAAAGCTGTGTCTGTTTATGGCATATATGATAGTAGCTGTGGGGCTGTGGCTTTTTGTCACGATAGTCCCCTGGGGCTGTTTATGACACGATAGCCAAATGTGCTGTTTATGACATGATATATAGTCATGATATATATAGTGTTGTGGCTGTTTAAGATGACAGCTGAGCAAGGCCCCACTAGAAAAAACAGGCCATGCTGCAGCACGGGCAGCGTAACACTACGTCAGCACAGTGGTGGATAGTTGTACTAAACTCTTACCATTAAAATCTGACAAACAACCAGCTTATGTTTATTTACCTAAAACATATGGGAATGGTGATGGCAATGAATTTATCAATGAAATCTATCCACTAGTGTGTGTGACGTCATGGATCCTGCAGCATGGCCTGTTTTCCTAGTGGGGCCTTGAGCTGAGGCTGTTTATTCCGACATAATAGTCAGCTGTGTTATTTATGGCGTGATAGCCAACTGTGCTGTTTAGTTGGCATTATAATCAGGTGAGCAGTTTTCAGGCTTAAATAAAATGCAGACCATGTTAGAGTAAACTGTGGAATATAAATAGGTGAATGAGTCCCTTTATCAGGTTCTGTTGGGTTAGGGTTGCTCATCCTTTTGGTTGATGCTTTAGGTCAACTCCTTTAAATTTCATGCAATCTATTGATGCAATTATGTCTCTTCTTTGCACACAGTTTTATCAGTATATTTGCACTTTCCTTATTTAGGTATAGGCTAACGAATTTCTTATTTTATAATTGATGTTATCAGAGTGCCTTTTGGTACTTTGCATGACAACCTTGAAGAAAGATCACAATTTCATTCTGTCCATCAGCCAGGTGGTTCAACAACGTAATCAATGATGATTCACCCTACTTTTTGTCATTTGAAATAATAAAACTTAGTATTACCATTGAATAGTTGTAGTACGGTAAATATGAACTAATCTTTATAATTGAAAAAAAATTTTTATCTACAGTTGTTAATGGAGGAATTAAGAAGGTACAAAGGAGCATTTGAACGTCAGTTCTACAAGTTAGTCTGCAGAGATGTTTGGGAAGGTGGGAATCTTCCAGTTGAATCTCGACCCCTGAAAACTCCACTGAGAGGGTTAATTCTTTCATACACAGAACAGAAACGGTGTAAGACAAAGGATGAATGTATTGAACGTGTTAGAGAGGTGCAACAACTGGCTAGGAAGGAGGGAAAGCCTGACACACAGTTAAAGTAAGTTTGTGAGATTACTTGGTAACTATAGCCACTCTATTATTCTGTGCTGTTAGTAAAGCTTGACTCGTGTTGTAGCTTGATTAAACTTATTGTTGGAAAAACTTGTTGGATTGTTGTAAAGTAGCTGGGTATAGATTAGTGGTTATTGTGCTCACATGACAATCAAAAGGTAGCCAGTTTGATCCTAAGAAAAATCCAGTACCGGTAGCAGTTTTATTATGGCTACAACTTTGGCTCAGCTATTCAAGCTCAAGCTCTGACTATTTGGTTCAGTCAATGTATTGAGCTTTTAATAAACCGTCAAATCTGTATTTGATTATTTTAATTATGTGGTGTAGGTGTGTAATAGTGCCACAGCATATTAAACAAAAACAATTTTCAGAACAAAAATTTAATTTTTTATTTTTTTTTACTAATAATTTGGCGCGATTACAGGTGACGATGATGGTTTTCTTGTGATCACGCGAGATGTTCATGATTTTGATGCACTCCTGGGTGAAAATGATGGGGTCCATGTGATTGTAGGAGATGTTCTTGGTTCTGAGGCGATCACCCCTATGGGGAGAGAGTAGCCGCACTCAAGTTGATTTGTCCTAGGTCCGCAAAGTACCCTAGATGCGACAATGTGTAGGAGTAAAGCGGTAAAAGGCTATCCGTGTTAAGGAAATCATAAAAACCTGTATATATATATTTTGTTTATTGAAACACATAGGCAGGATCAGAATCTATAGAGTATAACCAAATAAAATCGTTTTTTTAGTTTTTTTTTATTATTTCCTAAAATTAATAACTCACTATTTCACCAAAATGTTGGACATAGAATTAATTGATAATTTCCATCTTGTACCGACTCATAATCAAATGTTAAATATTCAGTTTTCTAGTTGGAGGGGACGGTTATGTCTATGAATGCATGGGTTGGCATCATTATCTTCCTGAACATGTAAAGATGATCAAAGGTGGTGAGAGACTTTATGGACGGAGCATTGAGGTTGCTTTCATTGATAAGAACTGTAAGTAGTAGTAATTTATAAACATATAAGGACAAAAAACATTCAATACCATCATTGTTTGAAAGCATACTTCTTGGCCTTCCAGATTATCTAAAGAAGGGTATTTTAAGCATGGTAAATGCCCTGGAACTGGAAAGTGTGTTGATGTGCACAAAAAATATTAAAAACCTTGTCAGAGTATGATAACCAAAACTAAATAATTACAGCATTGTGTTAGCATTTCCTTGGGTGGGTAGAACCCGAGGAAACTAAAAAGACTTGTTCATGTGACACAATATTGTTGAAGCACAGTAGGAATTAATAAACTCAGTATACTGAATAGATTCAATTTTCAAAGACTCTCAACAGTGCTAATTCAGGCAACTATTTTCTTGATTCTGATTTGAAAAATACCTATGTATATGTGGAACTAATTGACTCAATCAATGACCAATTACCAATGACCATTTTTGATGGGTTGCAGGTCTAAAGTACCGTAGCTCTTTTTCTGATCCACAGGGAGGAAATAGTTATTTGTGTAACTAGTGGTGAAAGTTGCACTTTGCTGCACACAAGAGCAATGTTTACGCATGAGCCGCAGGCGAGTGCGGAATGATCTCGAGTGCAGCAAAGGCCTTTTTCACTCGTGTTACACATTATATTTTTCCTACAGTATATAAGCATATAAATAATTAGTCTTTCAAACACTATACAACACGTTTTTAGGTTCAGCTGGCAACACAAATGGTACCCTAGAGAAAGTAGTACCCGCGGTCCGTATCACTCCGCTATTTTTCCTCGGCAAGAAATGTGCTCAGCGTTTTGAGAATATAGTTCCGTATGTTTTTGTAATTTGAAGTGGTTTCCGCGCCTAAAAAAATGCTTTAAAGGTATTTTCTTGTTTATTAAGATCGTAGGAATGTTTTAAAAACATTTAAAAGAAAAGTCCAGAAAGTTCAGAAATACCAAAACTATAAACACGAAATGACAGGTTAAGTCGTAGTTACAATAGTCAATCAGCTGCTCATAGTATTATTATCTTTAAGTGTTGCCAACCTATTTCCGAGCGTACACGGATTACTTGCATAATAGAACCACGCTGTTTTGTGTTGTTTCGTTGGAATCCTGATGTGCGGCAAAGTATAAACCGTACGACAAAGTATAAACCGTACGGCAAAGTATAAATATGCAGCAATTAGCAGCTTTCTGTACTATAAACAGTACAAGGAAGCCAACTTTGTCGGGTGACTGTAGGAAAAAGCCTTTTTAGTTCCTACGGAGTAAAAGTCGTCAGCTGTTGTAAACTTCTATTGTTCACATATATCAAAATGATGATTGATTTCATCAATTGTGACTTTGTTGCACTCTTGTCGATAGTTTGATATATCAACAGTATAATGTACACTAACTCAATAGACTAAAATTATTGAATCACTAACTAAAACAGCTGCTTTGTTTGCTTTGGCACAATTGAAAACAATTTGGAAATTGTTTTTAAAGGTTTTTTAACATGAATTAGTATATTTCAATTTCATTGCATAGGACCGAAAGTGACATTTCCCGGCGCATGCTCAAGTTTTTGTGTGGAGCCTCACACATAAAAACTCCAATTTCACGTGCGAGGCGAAGCCGAGTATGTGAGAGCTATTTTCTCGTACAAGGTGAAGCCGATGACGGTAATAATGGAGCAAGTGCCGGAAAATAACTTTCGGTACGAGTTATGAACAATACTTTTTATCAAGCCGCAAAAATACACAAACACAGAATAACAGACCTCAGTAATTACAACTATTTTATTTTTCAATTAATTTGTTCAAACATTACCTAAAATAAAATAAAATCTTCTTAAAGGAAACCTATGTATATTTATCAATACACTTTTTTTAAACATAAAAAAAAAAGAATAAAACAACTTTTAATAATACATACAGCTGATTTAAATCATTAAATTAAACCGTAACAAAACAATAGCGTGTGTAGTGAGGAAATAGGGAACTCATCGAGAGCGAGGGCAAGTAAATTTATAGCGAAGGAATATCAGCTTAGCTTGGGAAACGACTACTTTCATTGATGTCAGCTGTTATCGAAAATAGTTACTTTCGTTACGGAGTGATGAAAAGTATTTTTTCCTACAGTCACCCGACAAAGTGGGCTTCCTTGCACAGATTATTGTACAGAAAGCCTTACTTTGACGCAAAGTTTTTACTTTGGCGAACACCAGTATTCCAACCAAACAACACAAAACATCGTGTTTTATTATGCACGTAATCCGTTTACGCTTGAAAATAAGTTGGCAACACTTAAAGATATTTACCACAATGATCAGCTGGTGCAGCACCCCTCAGTGCATTTCGTTCAATGTTTGGATTTAACCTAACTTAAAAACATGTTGTACAGTGTTTGAAAGACTAAGGATAGAAACAGACAGACGGCGATGCGAAGTGAGGTGACGCGACGCGAAGAGAAGGGAAGCGAATCGTTTGAGAGCAAAGCGATAACATCACACACATTACAAGCGACGAGGTAGGAGCGAATTCAGTACCAATACTTAACACAAAAATGCACTCCACATGATCAGCTAGTATAAATAACTTGCAAACACGCTATAGACCTTTTTGTACCAGGTAATGCCAGTTAACTCCTTATCTTAATTGCATATCTTTTGTCGCGACAAACATCGTGCAAACATCAATATTCAGCCACAAAGGAGAATATAATTTATGAATTTGGTCTGTTCCACTACACATAGTTATAAGAAAAGTGTTGTGTTTATTCTGCCATATAGCGGGTTTTTCATAAACACACACGATAATTAGTTCAATGTCCATTGCGCTGTACTGGTCACCACCACCTGTTTTCGCTCCAAATCCACTGATGTTTGCTTCGCTTCGCTCTCAGTCGCACTTTGTCTGTTCACGCTAACCTGATAACGTGATTGATCATGTCGCTTCGCTTCCCCTTGCTTCGTTTCGCTGTCTGTCTGTTTCTACCCTAATATTTATGTGATTTATAGTAACTGTAGGAAAAATATAGGTAATGTGTAACACAAGTGCAAAGGGCTACTTTGCACACTAGTTACACAAGTAACTATTGTTTTGTAGCTTAGTTTGCTTAAATAATGGTGCAATTGAGCTCTGCTAGAAAAGTCACTTTACGCCCTTAGTGATGAAATATACAATTTGTTAGATCTTTTATCAACCCCCCCCCCCCGCAGCAAACCTGCAGACTAAGCGAATTTATATTTGCCTGATTGGGTTTACACTAAAATGTCTCTTTAAAAATATGACATTTTATTACCTATTTAAATAGAATTAGCTTAACAAGTACTTAGGTTTGCTGCAACAGGGAGGATAAAAAAGTTGTTTGTAAAATATTATTAGTTTACCTTACCTTACCTCCTTGGCCACTCAAACCTAAGAAGGTTTTTGGCCTCGCCAACAAGTTGCCTCCACTGCTCCCGGTCTGCCGCCATGTCAAGAGATGCCCCCACTCTGTGTAGGTCTTTCTGGACTTGGTCTCTCCATCTCAACTTCGGTCTTCCTAGCGGGCGAGTGGCTCGTGGTTGTCCATTGGCGATCTTCTTAAGCATTCTTTCTTCTTCCCTTCTTTCTACATGGCCTGCCCATCTCAGTCGTCTTCTCTTCACTATGGCTACAAGCTACAATGTCCGGTTCTTTGTACAGTTCTTGGAGCTCTCGGTTTTTTCTTATTCGCCACATACCTTCTTCATTTATAGGTCCGAAAATCTTCCTCAAAATTTTGTTCTCAAAAAATGATAAGTTTGTTTTCATGATTTTTAGTTAATGTCCAGTATAATAATAATTAATAATGATAATTAATAATAGTTTTAATTAATTTTTTTTTTAATTAATAATAATAATAATCTATAATTAATAATAATAATTAATTAATAATAATAATTAATAATAATAATTAATAATAATAATAAATAATAATAATTAATAATAATAATTAATAATAATAATTAATAATCATAATAATTAATATTATTAGTTTAGTAAGAAATAAATGCATTTTCCAAATTTGATCAAAATATGTTCATAAACAACCAAACTACAACAGTTTACTTATTCTCCATAAGAATAACATGAGAATTTTAAATTAAACACTTTTTTGGAATTTTCTCTTAACCATTATGCACATAATAACGCTTCAATATAATTTTTTTTTTTTGCCCTACAAAATGGTTTGGAAAAAATTGTTAAATTTTATGTTTTTTGGGTCGAATTGGGAAAAATCCATGTTAACCCCATAAAACCCCCCATAAACCCCCGTTCCCATAGTCCGTCCTGGTGATCATGCTGGTTTGAGAACTCTTTTGAATAAATGTAGGTTTACACGTTTATACAAAATTTCATCAAAATCGGATCATTTTTGCTTGAGTTTATCGTGCTAACGGACACACACACACACACACACATATATGTATATATATATAGTAACTGTAGGAAAAATATAGGTAATGTGTAACACAAGTGCAAAGGGCTACTTTGCACACTAGTTACTCAAGTAACTATTGTTTTGTAGCTTAGTTTGCTAGTTTGCATATGAACGGATGGTGTTTTTGGCCTCTAAGGACCTCAACACGAAAAAAGTAAATCGGTCCCGGGCCCAAGGTCTTACCATGAGTACTATGGTAATAGCTTATTACCCATATGGGAAATTTGCTAAAAACAAACTTTTTTCAGCGAACGCGCCTACCGATGGGATGCAAAGGGGTCTATCCCGTGTTGTTACTATGGGACTGACAGAAAAATTTCTCGTAGAAAATTTTACGTTTCACTGCCGAAACAACAGCGATGTCCAGTTTTTGTATGGCAGAGATGAAGCAAAGGAAAAAAGGAGAGTCATGCAGGAAAAGAGGAGGCAACGAAGAGATCCTAATTACAAACAGGAAAAACCAGAGAGAATGAAAATTGATATGGATCAAATAAAAGAGGATTTAAGAAAACAGGGTGTGAAAGTTCCTGATAAAGTATTTTGGTAAAGTTTTGCTTTGTGTCCCCTTTATGTTTCTCATTCTATTTATTTAGGAAACCGTTATGAGTTTACATTGTAATTCTATGGAATATAAGAGATTTATGTATTTGACAAATTGAGTACAGTAAAGTCTTTTATGGCATCATTGTTGATGTGAGATGTTAAAAAGCTCTAACATATACTAAAAAAAAAGATAAATTATTTTTTTAACATGTCTAATATTAGTATAAGAAAATGGAAGAAATTCCAATCATATGTTTTATTTACAGCATGGGGTGAAAATATAGAAGTTTGCACAATACATACTTTTGGTCGAGTTTTTAACCACGGGGCGAGCTCTTGTATTATATACTAAAAAGACTTTTGCAAAACTTATGACAAATATATGACAGCTAGCCTGACGATACTACTGGACCGAATTACACGCGGTTGGTACCAAATGAAAGATATTTTCCTGTAGATGTGCAGAATCCCTATATAAATTAAAATAGGCTAAAAAAAAAGCACAAAAAATGAATTTGAAATTTACAAAAACTAACATGGGTCTTATGGGTTGCCATGCTGGTGTCAAAAGAACAACAAAATATAAACAGAAAATTAAAACAAATTGAAGTAATTCCAATCACATGTTTTATGTACAGCATGGGGTGAAAATAGAGAAGTTTGCAAAATATATACTTTTGGTTGAGTTTTCGACCACGGGCCAGCTCTAGTGCAACTATATTTTTTTATTTTGCTGATGTAAACAAACAAAGATTTGTTATTGTTTTTTCAACTGTTTCAATTTTTAACAACCCAAAAACTGTACAACCGAAGTAAATATTGACTTTAAATTGAAGGCATGACAAAAAAGTGCTATGAGTTTTGTAATGCTCCTGTAATAAAGAATGTAATATAACTGTAATTAAGAAATATCTAATGTCTGTTTTAATTAAGAAAATGATAAGTACCTATTTATGTACTGTAGCGAAAAGTAACGTTCAAAACAGGAGTGAAAGTGGGTCTATACATATTCTCGACCATAAAGTGTTCGATAAATCTTGCACTTTCCAACATGAACATGGTCTCACATAGGTAATGACTCACTTTCTACTCTTGTTTTTAAGTTATGAAATATACTATATCCTGATTGTTAGTCTAATTTGTGTTGTTTTTATTACTAAAAATAATTAAATAAAAAATAAATGTTTTTTTACTTACATACATTCTTTATTTTACTTTTTTCCTTCTATTTACATTTTTTCATAGTGTATCTACTTGACTAAGTATTTTCTAAAACTAATAAAAAATACGCAGCAAACCTGCAGACTAAGCGAATTTCCATTTGCGTGATTGGATTTACACTAAAATGTCTCCTTAAAAATATCACATTTCAAATCAAATCAAATCAAATCATTTATTAAGCCAGAATTAACAAAATATTGTACAATTTGTATTGGCTAAGTCATCATTACAACTATTTACAGAGGTCTTATGCAGTACTAAAAGCTATACAGTTCTATATACATATTTAAGCTACATCACTATTCATCGAGCTGATTTTATTTACAAATTCTTGGACGCTGTAACAGGTAAACTTTATCAACAAAGATTTTAATTGCTTTTTAAATTTTAGCAGGTTTGGTTCAAGTTTAAGAGGAAGTGGAAGTGAGTTAAAAAGTGTTATGCCATTGTACAGTAAGTGCTTCTTGAAAAATGTTGTTGAATGTTTAGGAATTGGTAATGTGTGTGAATTGCGCAATGTGTATTGGTGTTTTACAGAAAAGTCAAATTTAGAAAATTCTTGTTTCACAAATGTTAAAGATTCAAGAATGTAAATAGATGGGAATGTCAAAATTTTTGAATTAAAAAAATATTTACGGCATGATTTACGCCTTTTTAGAGAGAAAACAGTTCTCACAGCCATTTTTTGGAGTTTAAACAACATTTTAGTCTGCTGGCACTCGCAACCCCAAATAGGAACGGCGTATGCTAAGTGAGGATAAATTAGCCCATAGTATGCCGTCAACAATATCTCCAGATTCTCATTGTTCCTGAGGTTACGCAGAACGAAAATACCAGAACTGAGTTTTTTTGAAATGTAATTGATATGGTCATGAAATCTAAGATTCTCGTCTAAGATCAACCCAAGGAACTTGACATTTGGTGTAGGGTGGACCTCAGTTTCATCCAGAAGGAGACTAAACCCACTGTTTGATCGGTTTGAATGATTTGATAAACGGAAGTTAATGAGCTGTGTTTTGTCTGTGTTGATTTTCAATAAACTGTCGCCAAACCATTGAATTATAGCGTTTGCATCCAAAAAACTAATTTGTTCCAGATTTAGAAAATTGGAGCTAGAAACTGAGAGAGAGGTGTCGTCGGCGAACAGGGATAACTTTGAGGAGGTTATGCAGGAAGAGAGGTTGTTAATAAAAAGAAGGAAAAGGACTGGTCCCAGGACGGAGCCCTGAGGTACCCCCCTAGCAACAGAATTCTCAGCAGAAGGGTAGGCTCTAACGCACCCAGCCTCATCAACTGCTCTTATTTCTACGTATTGCCTTCTGCCACAAATGAATGACCTGACCCAATCTAAGGCCGATCCTCTTACGCCCACATTACTCATCCTATCGAGCAATAAGTTATGGTCCACTGTGTCGAACGCCTTGCTCAAGTCAAAAAACAAACCAGCCGAGTAGTTTGCAGCATCTAATTCACAAACCACCTCATTTATCAGTTGAAACATCGCTGATGTAGTAGATTTACCCTTAGTAAATCCATGCTGGTTTTCGGATATAATCTTATTTATTGTCAAAAAGTCCCATAGCCTAATCACCATGATTTTTTCAAATATCTTTGAAAATACAGACACAACTGATATGGGCCTATAACTGTTGCAGAGCTTCGGATCTCCCTTTTTATATATAGGCCTGACCACTGACACCTTCAGCGCATTAGGAAATGATCCACTGGTGAATGACATATTAATTAAATGGCATAGAGGTTTTACCAAATACGATGCAACCTTTTTTAGTAAAAATGGAGATATTTCATCAGCCCCTGAAGACTTTTTGTTTTTTAAGCCTTTGATAACATCTAAAATTTCTTTTTCGGTAGTTGGATGTAGAAAGATTGAATTAAAATATTTCTTATTTATATCTGTATTTTTGGATGAAGCTGCCTTTGAGTCTTTGCCTGTGTCTGAAAAGAAATGGTTAAACTCATTGGAAATGTCTTTAGGGTCTGTGATGTCTTCACCATTATCAGTTTTAAGGGATATTTCGGTGTAACTTTTTTTGGCTGATGGTCGTTTATTGTTTATTATATTCCATAGAATCTTAGCTTTATTGTCTGATTTGTTTATTCTGCGTAGAGTGTCTTCTGACTTAGTTTTTCTTATTAGGCGTCTATACTGATTTTTTAAATTTTTGTAATAGTGAACCAGGTAGTGAGAAGATTCAAGATTTTTTGTTTTATTGTATAGGGCAAACAGCTGCTCCTTCAATTTTATTATCTCAGGCGACTGAATCTTTTTACTATACGTATTTTTATTGATTTTATTGTGCTTTTTTGGGAAGGAAATTTCAAATGAATGTTTAACCTTGGACAGAAATTCGTCAAACTTAGTTTGCAAGTCTGCTGCATTAAAAACTTCATCCCAATTTTCTTTAGAAATTAGGTATGTAAACAAGTCAATATTAGAGCTGGAAAACAATCTTTCATACTTAAAACAGGCTTTCGGAGCTAAGGGAGTATTGATATGTAGAGTCGCTGTTTGAGCGCTGTGATCTGATAAGCCTGCGGATATTACAGACCCCTTGACGTTGCTTATGTTTGTAAAAACGTGATCTATGAGACTAGATTTATTCCCTACTAGCTGTTCTACCCGTGCTTTGCAACGGGAAGAGGACACAAAATAGAAACATTTTAATCTTTACATCTGTTGCATATAATAGTTACACATCCGCCAACGCTTTTAGAAACAAAATTCAACTTTTATAGCCTTAATAGAAACGTTTAAGTTACGACTTTTAAATCTGGTAAGTAGTGGATACCACCATTTTGGTTTTGATTAATTTTAAATCTTGTGTAGGCTGATATGAGAAAAACTGACCAAATCTTTGAATAAAACTTTGACATACATGATTTACCTTCATCTCCCTTAGTAACATATCTTTTAATTTATTATTGACATTTTAAATTTCAATTTGGAAGTTGCAAAAATACTAATTATTAAATTTAAATGAATATTCTTTTTTAAATTTCACTCTTCTTTATATTAAATAACAAATTCTTCCGTCTTCAGTTTCTTCACTCACAATAAATCATTATTAGCAAAACTAAGTCAGCTGTTGTAAGCTTTAGAAATATTGCTGTGCCTTATCAATACAGTCTTTTGAAATATAAAAAGGAACTATATCTAGAGGTACTATAAAAAAATGTTAAACAAATAATTTTGCATTAAAGACAGCAGACAAAACTAATATGATTATCAAAGCATCAAGGACTAAAAAATGTAATAGCAAATACAGTATGTTTCATTGCATCTCTGATTCTACTCTACAAAAATATTATAAACATCTTAAACCAGTTCTTTTAATCAGTTCCATCGTACATTTCCTTTACATTTTCACACTTACCATTAAGTAAACATAGTAACAGATATTTCATTAATTTTAGAAACAAAAGAACACTGTGTACTGCTTAGTTTTATGATATTTTCCTTGGTTTAATTTAATCAGTGGTGTGGCAAAACACAAATAACAAAAATATCAAATAAAGTAAATGTGAACTGAAAGCTATGTTAAGATAAAATAAGAGTATTTTGTATTACCATTTGATAATTAAATATAGTTACACATATACAACAGATTTAAAAAAAAAAACAAAAATCAACAACGTACTATTTAGTTATTGATGATATTCTTTAGTTAAATTAAAGCATAGGTTTAGCAAAACACAATAACTTAATTTACCTAAATATATACATATAAAAAACAATGTGATGTGCAAGTTATGTTAAGTTAATCTAACACATGTTAAGTAGTTAGGATTTATTTAAAGTAGCCTCCAAATGCATACAAAACAATCTATACATTGTAATTTTCATACTGTTTCCATGAAAACATATCAATAACATTATTTTCATAACTTAGACGATTTAAAAAATCCAAAGCAGAGCCGGAGTTGTAGTGGGGCAGTTTTTTTTTTAAATGTTAATAGTTTAGTATGAAATGAATGCATTTTCCAAATTTGATCAAAATATGTTCATAAACAAGCAAACTACATCAGTTTATTTATTCTCCATAAGAATAACATGGGAATTTTAAATTTACAGTTTTTTTGAATTTTCTCCGTAGCCATTAGGCGCATAATAACGCTTCAATATACTAAATTGTTTGTTTTTTTAAGCTCTACAAAATGGTTTGGGGAAAATTGCTAAATTTTAAGTTTTTAGGGTCAAAAATGGGAAAAACTAATTTTTACCCCATAAAACCCCCCATAGACCCCTGTTCCCATAGTCCGATTATGCTGGTTCGTGAACTCATTTGAATAAACGTAGGTTTACACGTTTGTACCAAATTTCATCAAAATTAGATGATTTTTGCTCGAGTTAACGGACAAATATATATTAAATATATAAATATATATATATGAATTTGAACGGATGGTGTTTTTGGTCTCTAGGGACCTCAAAACGAAAAGGTAAATTGGTCCTGGGTCCAGGTCTTACCACGAGTACTACGGTAATAGCTTATATATGGGAAATTCGCTAAAATTATGGAAGGACTAGGTTCTATTTTTCTTCCACAAAGTAAACCTTGCACGCATTTAAATGTGATTTGCTACATTCATGTTTTTTAATTTTTTTACTAAGACCTTGCCAATCCCGAACCCCAGTAGCCCAAGCAGTTGATTCTGGACAGTTACTAAATAACCAACATGGCTCACAATAAGCAGCATCTAATTTTTGGAGAGTAGCACAAAACCAGTATCTGTCCACCCTCTGCCCAGTTAAAGTTGTGTAACCATAGTATTCCGCGCTAAATGATTGCTTGGATACAGCATCCTTTGGGAAGGGGCCAAGTGGACGGCAAGGTTCCATGGATAACACCTTTTCTTTAGTTTCCACAGAAGCCGGCCTCGGAAAACAAGCAATGTCACTTTGGAGCGTTATGTCAATTTTAACCTCATCGCATTGTTCGTTAATGTTGGAATCATCATTAGTTTCGATGTTATCATCTATATATTTTTCTGGTTCCCCAATACCTCTTTGTTCAATTTCCTCATCACTGAAAACTACTGTGTTTTCAACGTTAGAAGTACTATTTGAATTATTTGTATCAATTGGTTTTTAAAAAAAACTTCAATTTTTTGTAGTTTACCTGTCTTTTCTATACTTTCCTTCTGAAGTTTTCTTTTTTGAGCACCACTCAAATGTTTAGATGATTGCTGTGACATAGATAAAAAATGCAAATATAAAACACACGCACTTGACACTGATCAGTGATCACACACTTTGTAACATTTGCCAGACCGCACGCAATAAATTGACTGTACCGATCCGAAATTCAACTTCAACTAAGGCCCCGCGGCCACACGAGGCGGTTTGACCGCGCGAAGTTAAGGGGTCCGACAACACATTGAATCAAATGAGAGTGGCCATACACGAGGCGAAGTTTAGCCGCATGTGCGGTTGAGCCGCGCCATGTCGTCCCCCGACCGCGCGAAGTTAAGCCGTGTTGGGAGGGGATGACACATGCAGTCTTATGAGAGTGGCCACACGATACGGTTCGACCGCGCGGCAGCCGCGCTTATTGGAGATATTCTTCGGACATTTCTAGTGGTTTTTGAGTTTGTTTTGTGTGTTTTTTTACCGGTTTGTGTGGTGTTCAAACAATGTTTGATCCGTACAAACTCCGAACTATGGTTTCGCATGTGCTCGTAAAAGGTTTGGAAGACAAAAAATGGTTTTTCCGTTATGAAGGGATGGACCCAATGATTTATGTTAACATTTGGTTCCAGATCACCACGCTTCTAATGCACAAACTAACATAAGTGTTTCGTCCATGACTAAAAAGAGTAAACTCAACGATGTTTTAATAAAGTACTGATACTGAGAAAATAAAACAGGAAGCGGTTCATCCACCCCGTGTGGCCAGGCACTTCGTGCGGCTTAACTTCGCGCGAAGATAAGCCGCGCAGCTTAAATTTGCCTCGTGTGGCTGGGGCCTAACGAATACAAATGACGAAACGATTCACAAAAATATAAAAAAATATTTGATCATAAAATGCTATTGTTATTCTTCCGGCCGTATGCCGGGAGTTCTTATCTGTAGTAGTGATGAGTCACCGCGGTGCTCGACTCTCGACTAGCGAGGTAGCGAGCGATAGTTGCATTTATTGCCAGGGGGAAACAACAATACACCTACTTCGTACCATGACATTAAATAATAAATACTGCTATCTACAAAAATAATGGTTATTGCCGTTTTATATGCACAACCTTGTCTGAAGACATTTAGATTTTAGGCATACCTCATTTTTGTAATTTCTTGGCAATACTGGTCAGGGCCCATCGCGGGTCCGTACTCCCGGGCCCCGGTAATATTCCCGAAAAATCAAAAATCCCAATCAAGGCTCGTGGGCCCCCCCAGCTCACGGGCCCCCCGCACCGCGGGCACTGCGGGCCCGCTATCGCCACCACTGAGTGACAAAATATACCGTTGGCCAACGATCGACAGAAACGTTGGGCCAACGATTTACCAACGATTTTTGCTACTTGGGGTAGTTGTCACAAAAAACCTGCTTGCGTATTAAATAAGTATAGATAGGCTAGATTATTGAAAGGTTGTTCCAAAAGAAGAGAACCCATAGCATAGTTAACATAGTAGATCCTACTGTAATAATAACTCCGATGACGTACGGTATGGGAAATATGTTATTGATTGAATGATATATGAGCTGACACCTCATAAATGAACACAGACATGTTATATGTAAATGTCTAGCCTGACTGTAGCCATCACGCCCACGCGTGAATCAAGGCCGTCTTCGGTGGCCGTGGGGTGGTAGCCATGCCACATACATGACACACATACATGACCATAATACATGACAATTATTGCAATTTTGCATGTCCAATGAAAACACACAACAATCACACAACATAACAAATAAATTATTCTGATTCTGATCAACCATTTTTGTAACTAACGCAATAGTATTTACTATTGTTTTTACACTTATTACTCATTAAACAATGCTAAATGCTCAAAATTTGTAAAATTTCACTCTATTAATCGCAGTTAAATGTATTAGCGCAAGCTTTAAATTAACCATCGATTTCAACGGGTTTCCCCTAGTTTGCCTAGTTAGTACTATTTCATTCCCTCGGAAAATAGCCGATTAAGAAAAGGTCAATAAGCAAGATAGATTAAGTTTTGTTATAATTTTAGCTCAGTGGTTATAACATAGTATAGAGTTTAAAGTTGTTAGTAGTGTGGTACTCATTGATTATCCAGAAAATAAACAGAAACAGCTGACTGCTCACTCTTGCTCTTACTAACAGGGTTTCGAATTGGTGGGTAATTACCCACTTTGTGGGTATTTTAAGCTATGGTGGGTATTTTTGCGGGTATTCTATTTTAGTGGGTAAAATAGGGTATTTCATGCTCGCTTCATGGTATTTTTCGTTTTTAGTGCATTGGGAAGTTTCTGCTTTAGCAGGCTTCATGTTTAGAATCAAACCTTAAAAACATTGGCAACTTTTTTTGCCTTCAGCAAAGCCTTTTTTCTTCTTCCACTTCTTCGATAATTCCTTGTTGCGATACCACTGTCTTTCCGATATTTGGTATCGATACCGTATCGCAAAAAAGTAACGATACCGGCTCAGTATCGGAACTAAAGTATCGATACCATTAGTATCGGAACTAAAGTATCGATACCATTAGTATCGTATCCATTCGATACCAGTGACGTCATATTCTGATTCAATGATCTTCGATTAAAGTTCACTCGTTCCAGTACAGTGCAGCCAATATGGGATTCGAATTCAAGCTGCTAAAAACTACCTAAATATGTAAAACATTGATAAAATTAACCAAACATTGCCAACCATTGTTTTCAATTTTACCTTCAAGTATAAGTTCAAGTAGGCCTAAGCTTACCATAAGTTCTAGGCCTATATAATTTATATTTTCAATAGACAATGTTATTAAATTACCAACGTAACGCATTCGTGTTTACCATCAGCCTAAAAAAAGTTTATTTTTTAGTTAAATAACTTTAAGTGCGGTGCCATCTTTTTAGTTTATTTGATGTTAAATAGTCCATGGTTTCATTTTATTTGCCTAACACAACGTTGCTAACATTGACTTGTAACAAAATTAACTCTGCAACTAAACCCTTAAGTTGTATCATTGACTAAATATACGTCTGTAGGTATATATAGTCAATGGTTTTACTTATAGTTATGCCACTCAAACCACATATCAGACAAGCTAGATAAAAAAAATATTTAATTGGGTTAAAGTTTTTTTTTTACAAAAATACATCATGTCCATTTATTTTGGGTAAAATAGTTTGATATATATTTCAATTATATATTTTACGTCATTACACCACATATTACTCTTATTCAAGCTGAGTGGGTAATAGTGGGTATTTTTAGGTAAAGTGGTGGGGAAAATTACTGAAGTGGATTAGAAACCCTGCTTACTAACTCAACTGTCACTTAATTTTGACTGGTAGTGGTGTGTCCAAATAAATGCCTCAAGGAAATCAGAGTTAACCCTGAACTACAAGTGTAACCTATATTTTCGGTGATGTTGTCCTTTAACTTTTAAACACTTGTTTTGCCAACTAATGTTATGTTTTCGGGACGATTTACTCAGAGCCCAATAATCCTTAGTATTATCAGGCGAGCTAAATCAAGTGAGCATACATGTTCTAGGTGTATTGTTTTTCCAAAACAGTCAATTTCAGACTGTTTACTAGCTTCTCAACAGCTATGTAATGTAAGGTAAGATTGTCCAATGTCATTTTGTGTCAAATTATTTTCACATACAGTATTAAAATATTTACTACCTCAATGTTTCAATGAGTTTACTCACGGACCAGATCTTTCATAAACCTGTAAGTTTGACTCAACAAAGCAAAGTATTCTATAGCATAGGCCTAAGTCATTGAATAAGTTCATAATCTATTAAAATAGGTCAGTTGTTTGATAATTAATTACATAAATAAAAAAGTGTGTACAGTTTCTTAACTGGGCTACGCTAATATTCATTAAAACTATCGATTCGATTAATAAACCTTTATGCGATTTTTTCACCATCAGCAAGTTTGGTTGGTTAGGCTAGGTTATGATAGTTTAATTTTATCCTAGATAGGGTACATTTTAAAATATCAATCATTAATCAATATTTTCAATTCTATAGTTTCAATCAATATTAGCGTAGCCCAGTTAAGAAACTGTACACAAGTTCCCATAGCTAGGCTTACAATTAGCTAATCTAACTTACTATTTGCCTTAATAGTAAGTTAGGCCTACCTACTCTATTTAAGCTCAAGAAAAAAAAAATGACGTGTGGCTAGGCCTGGCCTGGGTAAGTTATCACTATGAGTTGTGATACTTAGGAGGGGTTTAGGAGCTCGGTATTAGCGCTAGTCTGCGACTATGAACCAGATATTTCTGGTATTTAAGCTGCCGCCTAGAAAACGGGTTTGTGAGCTCCGAATCAGTTAGGTGCGCGCCTAATTTGGACAGGCATAATCTCGCGACTACATATTGTTGGTTCAGGAGTCTAGTAGACTTAGGCGCCAGCCTGAGAGATAATCTCGGTGGGTTTAACTTAGTAGACCATTTTCGGGACTAAGAAAGATAAGTTATTTTCTTCATCCAAATTAGTGAGTTTAGGATGCAACTTTAGTCCTGCCAGGGGGCAGGTTTAAGTGGACATCATCTCGGTAGCCTAAGTTACTATGTTTATTGTTTACATATCAACTAAAAGAATGTTAGGCCTAGCCTATATTGCAATTCGTTATTAAGTTAAATTCCGAACAATTTCATTAGGTACCGGTACTCTGAAAGTATATTTGGAAAAAGTTTTTTTTTTAGGTTTCCTTTGTTCAAAATAAAACAAAGATTGCCTAGTAAGCTAAATTTAACCAAACATTATTTTTTTTACTGTTTGCTGCAATATTACAAATATAGGCTTTAACTGGAGTTTTTTCAACTGAGAGTTTGGTTATAAACGTCGGCCATACCCTAATTAGCCTATAAGTTAGACCTAAATATTTTATTAACTTAGCTACGAAAAAAATTAGCTAATGAATATGGAGAATGGAGTGAGATGCCTTTTGTAGCTTTGTTACTGGCCTGTTTCGAATTATTAACACACTTTAAGGCAATTTCTTGACCAAACAAGAGGATATGCTCGAAACGCACAGGTCGGCTGTCGGGCAAAGACTGGGTGCGTGGCACAACTTGGCAACAGTGGACAGTTTTCTGAAAGCTTATTGGATACCGCTTACCCTCACCCCACCCGACTCAAACTGGTTCCGGTCCTATTCTGTAACCTATTCCACTATAGTGACATCAACATGGAGTACCTAGGCCTACCTCTAGGATTATTTGGAGTAAACCTACAAGAAAATAAATGTATTTATCAAAAGGGTGTCAGGTTTAAAATGTAAATAATTGACAAAAAAGCTTCTTTCAAATTATAAGTACCTATTAAAAGATATATTTTACATTCACCTCGGCTTCACACAATCATTACCTCCAAAATTACTTAAATTACTTTTTATTTCCGTCAATTCTCCTATATTTTAAAGGGAAATTGCTGATAAGTAATTTGAAGTTTTTTATTGCATGACGGTTTCAGCTGCTACTGTTCCAAAAACGGGGTAACATTTTTTAAGTGCCCTATGTTTCTCATCTCTGTAAGGAAATTATGATATCATACTCTTAGAATCTCATAAAACTCAGGATAAAAGCCAAGGTTGATACAGTGACGGTTATAGAATCCAAATTATTTCATCAATGAATAATTTCTTTTATCAATGACTTATTCCATATAAAATATAATTTTAGTACCGGTACGTATTAAGTTTGTTTTAATCAACTGTGTGGAATTGTGAAATGAATGTGCATTTGTATTGATAGTTCTGCTTGTTTACATTTTAAGACCATAATTTTGTATTGATAATTCCCTAATACAAATCAATTTATATTGGTAAGACAAATTAGGTACATGCATAAAATAATAAAATAAAGGCTCAATTATAATTATTGGCTTCTTTTGAATTTCAGGAAGTAATTGCATAATTCGTTCATTATTTGCTTTAGCCAAAGTGTCTTTTTCTAGTTTTCTCTTTTTTTTACAGCTTTTAGAGTTGATACATGATCATTAATCTTTAACGGTTGTCCATTTTTTTCTGTACATTGTTTTGATGTTTGAAAATGAAATACCATCGTTCTTGGTCGGGTCTCCAAGACGAGTAGGGAAAGAGAACAAGTCATGTTCAAGTTCAGTAATCTCTTGTTCAAAAAGGTTGGGAGTGAAATGGTGATGTAATGGCAGTTTTTAAATCTTCATACTCTTCACTAAATCCCTCTGTTACTCTTTGGAGAAGTGCTCATTCATTTTGTAAAGGCTTTGTAAAGGCAGTATACGCTGCTTGAGGACTTTTATGTGCAGCTATGCTAAATTTCTTTATACAATCAACCCATTATTTTACTTTTTCTTTCACGAATTCCTTCTTTTCTTCTGAGCTAAAAATAATACTTCCTAAAAACCTGTACGATGTTACAATTTTCACTTGAAGGTCTCTGAAAATTCTTCTGCTTTTTCTTTATATTCAGGTTTTACTATCAAGACACTTTTCTTGGGTTCTGGGTAATACCCCCATTTTGGCCCTTCAACACGTAAAGAGTTATGAAAAAACTTCTCTAACTTTGAGTGTTTCACCGAAACATGCAGAATCATCAGCGTACCTACCAGTTTTGCTTCCAATTTAGGCTTTTTAGTTTTTTTACCAAAGGTTATATGCCAATTGCATACATTAGCATGCCTAAGGGGTCTCCCTGAGTGGTTCCTTCTTGACTAAGGATGATTTTATTGCTTCCTCTAAACATAATGGTTGCATAGCCTTGGTATGTATTGAATAGGAAACTAGCACAACGAGGCCAAAGCACCCTAGCATTCCACAGAGTTAAAGGCCTGCTCAAGGTGTTGAACACATTTGAAGCATCTACAAGTAAAATACAATTTTGGTTATTTTCATTGAATAGGTCTGTCATAGCATGTATAGTACCTTCTATTCCAGCTTTCGTTCCGGCGCAGAGTTGGTCAGATCCGCATATTTCTTGAACATCGTCCCTGTTACAAAAGCCATGGTTTTTGCAACATAATCCCTGCAAAACTTCCCCAACTCCTATAAGACGAATACCAGCGTATTTGTTCAGGGCTAATCCTCTTCTAGCTAACAGAGCTCTGATCGAGTTCCAGTTTACTATCCCAATTGGGATCCATCGAGTTAACGATGCAACTGCTTCCCGTAAACGAGTTCTATGTGCTCCATAGCGCAGCAACATATTCTTCCATTGATCAGCATTGGTTCCTCTAAGGCCAGCACTTCTATTCAAACATCTAGCCATCTTTTCTATGTGGTCACTGGATATGTGTAAATCTACCATCAATGGTAAGTTCTCATGAGCTAGAAAGGTATTGTCATTCGGAACCATTTGACTTGGGTGCTTATTTTTTAAAACTTGAAAAACATTTTGACCATCAGGAAGGATATCGTCAGGTGTGAGTACTCCATCGCCGGAGCGGTCTGTGAGCCATCTTGTAGCTTCACGCAATTTTCCTTGTAATACCAATCTTAAATGACCAATCTTTAGTTTACATTTTAAAGGTTATGAGTTTGCTATTTGTTGCCATACCAATAAATATTTACTTTTAAAACTCTCTCCTCTGAACTTTGAAAGCCCACTGGGCAGAGTCCTTCCATATCGAAGTAGGAATAGTTCTATATATATTATCGGAGCTTTAGCTTTATTTTTGTCCAATTTAAACCCAGTTGGTTCAGTAGTTTTTGTGTTTTAGTTTAGCTCATGCAAACAGAGACAGACACCTTCTCGTCTTTATAATAGTATACGGTTCTTCAGTCAGTGAGATGTTAAACACACTACAATTTTGCTGCAGAAACCTACACCGTATATCTAATAGGCTACTAATTAGCCATAATTGATATAGCCTACCAAGATATAATTGTATTCATCATCAATAATTGTTCATCTACTGTTTTTGTTGACGATCAAGTGAGGCAGTGGCCGTTGCGAGCCCAAAAACCTAAATTCCCTGCAATTCCCTGACCATCTAGCTGCACTGCGACTTAGTCAAGATTATACTTGCTCTACAACCATTACAACTTAGGCGTGAGCTCCTAAGCCTGGTTTTTGACCCGCGTACTAAAGTTAGGCGCTTCTAACGCTGGGCGAGAGCTCCCAAACCGCCTCTTATGGATCTGAATTTGCGATATTATGGTCTGAACATTATGTGTTTCCGAAAAATGTACAGGACTGTTGCTTGTTAACAGTGGGATTGAACTACGTTACTTATACAGCTTCAAGCTGAGTATTTAGCTGTACAGCTAAGTTAAGCTTAGGCCTTTTTAAAGTAACATTAGGCTATGCTTCAAAAGAGTTAATTTTATTGGGCACTGGGCCTGTGTATCTTCCACTGCTTCTACTCTGCAGTCCATATAAACAAAGAAATGTTCAATTCCTCATTTCTTCCTGACGAAGGGCAAAAGTCAATAGCCTAATTAGCCTATGCTAGGTTTGATGTAGAACGTAAGCTAGTTAATAAGATTTAAATGATAGGTAGGCCTAAATTAATTTTCTCATCAATATTTTTATTGTGATAGCTATTCTGCAAGATACCTTAGTTATAAATTTGTACCTTATGTTAATTCAGTTTTACGGGGTCTTAAGTTAATGCCTAGTAAAATATGCCTGATTATGCAGTTAACATATTAATGTCCGGCCCAATCAACCCTTCTCGGTTGTTCGACGAGCCTTCGTTGTCACAAGTAGAAAGACACTGTTACAGTTTGACGAGACCTGTCTGTTATGAGGTAAACCTGTAAGCGGTGGCATCCTACAGCAAATCCAGTGCATTGTATTGGATTAGGAATGTATGCAGCATAATATTGTTCATTAGTGCTTGATCTTTTACAGCTGTTCCCGATTGAAGTGAGTGCCACAGAGACAGATGCACTGTTTTCAAACGAGAACAATTTTAAAGGTTAAGTTAAGTTAAATTAAGGTACAGGACCCTGGAAGGTTATGAACCCATTAAAGTTAACCATTTAGTTTTGAGCTGAAATTCCAGTGGATTTCAATTTCTCTATTTCAAATTTGGATTTCAAATTTGCCAATTTCTCTATTGGCAATTTTGAATTCTATATTGATGATGAAATTAATATGAATTTAGTCATTATTAGCACAAATAATCAACATTGTGGGTTTTGTGCTCTTATTCCGAATAGCAAAGGGGATAGTTCAGCAATATTTGGCTAAACGGTATCCATAGCAGAGCATGGTGAGCATTACCAAAATCCTGTATTGAAGAATTAAAAATACTATCTGTGCTAAAGCTAAAGTGATCAAGTTAGAAAATGTTATAACTTATTGAGAAAAAAATAATTTTTATGTCAAGTTAAGGCTGTGGTTCTTTGAAAGAATATACTGTGAACAGCAAGATCAACACTTTCATGGTAACACCTATTAAAAGTCCCTCTCATACTGAAGTCTTAATATCTCTTGTACATTCTAACTGTTAACCTCGATCAACATTATTAACCTCATCATGTGCTGATAAAGAATTACTCTAAATACGCCCAGTCTGTGATCAAACTGTAAAAATTGCAATTGCTTCTGGAATATTTTTTTTTTTTTTTGTTTCCTAAGGAACAACAAATTTTACAGGTCGTATACCACTCACGACAGAGATTTTGGCACCAAGATGGCCGCCAGCGTAGACCCTGATATAAAACCGAAGCATACAAACAGACTGAAAGACTCCAAGTCTCCTTATTTACTTCAACATGCACACAACCCTGTAGACTGGTATGTTTAGAGAAAATGTATACATGATGATGGTGCTTGCAGCTAAAATATGACAAATGTATTGATAGGCTAGCTTAAATGTAAAAGCTAGTAAAATGAAATTTAAACTTATTTATTAATTATCAACTTTTATCAACAATAGACTTAAATCAGTAATTAGTGTCAATCTTAATTTGATGTGTATTTGGCTGAATTTTCATTATTATACCCCCAAACCATCAAAGTATAGTGCGAAACAATAATTGGGATTGATAGACCAATATAATTCAACCGTACGGTACTGTTTTATCAAAGAATTGATTACTTGGTGACCCTAATCAATGATTCCGTTTGGTTATTTTGATCATTATGAAACTGCAGTCCTTTGTTCCAATGTGATGTTAGGCAGGAGAGGTATAGCTAATAACGTTTTGCATTTTTTAATGTTTGCAATTAATGCAATATTCTTACTGTAGATTTTAATATTGAATATAATACAATTTTGTTCTCTATTGAATAACTCTTTCTGGCATTGACATAAGTTATTATTGTTATCAATTACCTACAAAACAAAATTGGTATAGAAAGTCATGAAAAAATAAAATAACCCTTTAAAAAAATATCATTCCACGTTAATGTAAACACTCCAACTAGTAACTACTCTTATTTTTATCAGTCTGCATTCTTAAGATTTTCTTGTTAAAGCCTCTTAATTATTATTTTAATTGCAAATCAATTTTCTAATTATTCAGATGTGGCAAAGCAAGATCCAGACATATTCAGGGGTTGTGTTCTAAGAACAATAAGGTGAAAGAAATATTCTGCAAATTTGAAACATAATTTATTTACTACCTTTTTTGTTGTTGCCTGTGTTGTTGAGTAAGATGTTTATGTGTCACCCTATACATTTTGCCAGCTTGTATGACATCTTCAGGGGGTCTTCTTAAGCTACCTATCTTTTTATCACTAACACTAGAGGCCTATTTTTTATTTTCAGAAATATTATCAAACACACTCACGGTCACTCGTATTACTGTCGGGTCGAGCAAAAATCGCTCGATAGTTGAGGGTAGGTAGGAGTTTATTGGAGTTTATCTAATTCACCTATTTATCAAACGGCTTAAATGCCAACAAACACTCCCAATCCAAGGAATGAAATAGTGGAAGAAAGTCTTCCAGTCATGACTCCGCCATGTGTCCGTCATCGGGTTTTTTTTTAACCTGACTGCAATTTGAGTGATCTCATGTGTGTAAATATCTCAATAAACACATATACTGTTATAGTGCTTGGTGATAAGAAGAGAGCTTAAGAAGACCCTTTAAAAACTGCACAGAAGCTGGCAAAATGCATTAGGGTGACACACAAATATCTTCCTCAAGAATACAGCAAAAAGTTAATGTAATATAGAAAAGTTCTTGAACTTGGGATGAAAAAATATATAAATATAAATTTTCCTAATTTTTTTGTTATTATGCCTGACACCTTGAACTTTAAAATGTAACTAGCGTTTTGAAAATATTCTCCTTTTGGAAAATACACTTTTGTTAAGCAAATCTTTTCCCATTGTTATGTGCCAATTTTGCTGTCAGGTATCCATGGGGAGAAGAAGCCTTCGAGAAGGCAAGGAAGGAAGACAAGCTAATCTTTCTTTCTGTCGGCTACTCTACCTGTCACTGGTGCCATGTGATGGAACGAGAATCGTTTGAGAACGAAGATATCGCCAGAGTCATGAATGAACATTTTGTCAACATCAAGGTTGACAGAGAAGAACGACCTGATGTGGATAAGGTTTACATGACGTTTGTTCAGGTATAAACTTTTTTTGTGTCTGTTAGATTACATTGTACTGTATAAGTTATTGTTTACGCTAGACTTTAAACCTCGAAAAATGATAAATTCACCTGCAGCTTTAACAACTGGTAAAACATAAAAAAAGTAGTACACATAAATTTGTCATGAATGATGAATGGAAGTCATCACAATAACTAGCCAAAATTGTACTCTCTTATGCAAGCGCATTGTACCTCTCACCTTTATTCAGTTGTCTGATATTTTTTCTTGACTAGCTTCAGTTGAGTTGATTCCAATTTGATTGATATGAAACATGAATATGATTTATAATAGCTGATATCATAATTTTAGTTGTAAAGGTAATAATAGCAGTAGGTTAAAATTCAGAATGATCTGTAATTGTGATTATCTTTAAACAAAATGTTAAAATGTAGGCCTAATTAACTTTATCAAGTTAGTTTTAAGCGAAATACTTCACACAATTCTAGCGCATCATTTGAGGGACTCGGACAAATTTTAACACATACAGTGATATGCTACCTCCATAGGGGAACGGTAGCCATTCATAATGATGCAAATACAAGTAATAATTACTTTGCTATGGGAGCGGCCCGCTAGAATAAGAACGGTTTTACTCGGTTATTCTTCTCATAACAACCTTTAATTTGATGAGCATATCAACCTAAGCTTACATGCTTACACCAAGATTTTCTTCTGACTCCTAGCGGCTCATCCTGCTGAGGAGGTAGCGTATCACTGATTAATGTGTTGAAATAATATTTATGTTCAATAACTTTGCTTCAAGTTTTTTAGCTCTTTCTTTATTATTTTTTATTAATATATGACTGACCCAGGACTTTTTTGCCACCTTGTATTACTTACTATCTATAAGTATGAAGTTTTGGGTCAAGATGACTTTAGGCCAGGGTATTTTTAAGGATTTTGTAGTGGATAGGTTTAACAACTGGCTCACCTTATTGACGAAAATAGGTGAAAATACAGAAATAAACACATGACACATAGAACTTTTTGAGCTACTTGCTCCTTCTTCAGTATCAGTGTCATTCTATGTTCTTGATGGTCGTGGAAGGAGGAAGAAGAGTACACGGTCTAGTATATGAAACATAGAAAGACACTACCATCTAGGTTTATTTGCACATTTTCATCTATTTTCGTAAGTAAGATAATCCTGCTGCTCAACTTATTTGTTACAAAAATCATTACTAAATAATTTGTTAGGCCTGCTTTACAACAAGCTGAGACCAAAACTCAACTTCAAAATTCGTTGGGTAAAAGAAATGATGCAATGAAGATAAATCTTGTCGATAACTTGGTTTGTTTTCTGTTGACAGGCCTGTTCTGGTAGTGGAGGGTGGCCAATGAGTGTGTTTCTCAAGCCAGACCTGAAACCAGTGTCAGGCGGGACGTATTATCCCCCGGAAGATCGATATGGTCGACGAGGGTTCAAGAGTGAACTGCTAAAATGGGCCAAAGAGGTGAGATTTATGTAGGCTCCTGTAGATTATTTGGTTAGTTTATTCAAATAATCAGTATCAGTTTACAGACACTTTCTCCCATCAACTAGACAAATACAATGGTAATGAGTAAGTGGAGGAAGTTACTGTGAGTTTTATTGGGAAAATAAAAATAAAAAATGCAATCACTTTTGAACTGTAATTTTTACAGCTTTAGGCAGCATTTTTTTAGGATTTAAAGGACAGAAATAGGCCTATACTAAATTTTATTTAAATTGTCCTAGTAGTTTTTTTAATGAGATTTTTTTGCTATTACATGGGTTTTTATAGAATAATCACCATTAAAAAACAAAATTTCATAACAATGGAAAAAATAAACGCCTAGTGATACCATGGATTAGTGCACACATACAAAATTTAATCAAAATCAAATCATAGATATACTGTAGTCTGTTCACATTTAGGGTGCTCACACACACATACAGACATCACTTCGAAAACCACTTTTTTGGTTCTACCCAAAAATCTGACTCAAACATTTTGACAAAAACAATACTTTCTCCATATAGGCCAAATATGTATAAGGGAAAGTAAAAAGGGATAGAAATCTAATCTAAAATAGTCATGGTAAAGAATCTTTATTAACCCCTTCGCTTACAACGACGGCGATCCGCCGTCGCGCTCCCGTTAGCCATTGTGTGAAGCGACGGCGAATCGCCGTCCGCTATTAAAACCTGTTTGTGCCGAGTTAGTTCCCCAGAAATCCAATAGATCGCATATGCTTCTTGTTCTATGATTTCCAGGCTTTCTTTTGGTTATATTTTCGTCATCTCAGTCCAGTCCAATCGGCAAAAAAACTGAAGTTGAAATGGTGCAACTTAGCAGCTGACGACGTCTACTCTGGTTTCACAGCTGATACGTTGTTGTGTTTACTTCGACGATGTAAACATTGTGTTAGAGCCTTGTTTTACTTTATTATTTTATTGAAAAGTGTAGTTATCTTATAAAATAAGTTATAGAATTTACTTAGTGTAAGTTTTTATCAGTATTTTACTTTTTCGTCGTTATAATGACTGAGTTATTAGGCCTATCATGTCGTGTTTCACTTCGTCGTGATAAAGATTGAGCTACAGTATCTTGTTTTACTATATTATTCAATTGAAAAGCTTTTGTATAATACGATGAGTCTTCAAAATAACTTGGTATTCGTGGATGAATGTGGAAAAGAGTTAGATGAAAGTGACATCATAAAACTTATAGGGGATTGTGACAGTGACAGTGATTGTGACTTGTTTGAGGAGAGTGGTTGGAGTGATGATGATGATTTGGAAGGGAGCAGAATTCAAGTGAGTAATAAGTCTAATACGCCTATTGATTATGAGACCACAGTTTCCCCAGAACATAATACTAATTGTGTTAGGCCTAGGCCATTAGAAAGTGACCAGTTGTTGCTTGAACAGCCTTCTTGCAGCTATGCTAGGCCTATGACCCCTCCAGATGCCCTTACTGTCCAATATAATTCAGATTTGTCTAGTAGGCCTGAAATATTTGATCAGCATGTATCTTCTCCATCACGTGATGAAGAATTGCCTAAATCAGTCCAGTTTCTTGATCGGTTATACCGCGGTAGTATGAGCGCGCCTTCTCTCTCGCCTACACCGAGTGAGGAAGCTGACGACCCTGGTTTCCCTGACTCTAGGCCTATAAATGATATAGATAGTGGCAGGCATAGGCCTATGACCCCTCCAAATGTCCAATCTGATTTAGATTTGCCTATTAGGCCTGAATTATTTGACCAGCTTGCATCTTCAATCGTGCCTGCCCTCTCACCTACACCGAGTGAGGAAGCTGACGACCCTAGCTTTCCTGACCCTAGGCCTAAAAGTAAACCTGTTAGGGGCAGGTCTAGAGGAAGAGGTAGGCCTATAGGAAAAAAAGCTATTTCACAACCATCTAAGCCTACTAAAAGGTCCAAAACTCAAACTAGTAACGATACAGCTCCACCAAAAAAGAAGAAAAAGGAGGGTTGGCAGTGGACCAGTACCATAGAAAGTAATATAATAAATAAAATCCCTTTTACTGGTTGTCCTGGTGTTAGAGCAAGTTTGGCTAGAAGTTTAGGCTCAGCTCCCTCTGAATTAGATGTTTTCAATGCGTTTCTTGATAATGACTTTTGGCAACATGTTGCAACAGAGACTAATAATTATGCCAAAGAAACAATTAAGAAAAAGAACGAAGCAGGCGGGGTAGGAAAAACTATATACTCAGAATGGTTTGACACAACTGCAGATGAGATGGCTTGTTTTTATACACTGTGTGTCCTTATGTCGCTTGTAAAAAAAAGAACCATACAATCATACTGGTCGCCTAATGCTGTAACTGAGACCCCTTTTTTTCGTAAAGTGATGCCATTCCGCCGTTTTTTGCTACTGTCCACATTTTTCCACCTTACAGACAATAATAGGAAACCTGTGAATGATAAACTGTGGAAGTTAAGGTACGTTATTGAGTACATGAACAGGAAGTTTTCCCATCTGTACATACCTGATGAAAACATAGCTGTCGATGAGAGTCTTATGAAGTTCCGAGGGAGGTTGGGCTATGTCCAATTTAATCCCAAGAAGAGAGCCAGATTTGGCATAAAGTTTTACAAGTGTTGTGAATCTGGAAGTGGTTATTGTTCTAAATTTAAGATCTATACTGGAGCTGAAGTCAAAGAAAATGTACCGGTTGAAGAAGGAAGTGGGGATTCTACACAGGAGGAAAAGCTGTTAACGAGTGAGGCGATAGTCGTTGAAATGACAAAAGATTTGGCAGGAAAAGGACATACTCTGACAATTGATAATTGGTACTCCTCACCTCTTCTCTTCTATAGACTTAAGCAAATAGGTTTCAATGTAATTGGAACAGCTAACTGGTGGAGATCAAACATGCCAGAGAGCTTCAAAGAGGGTAAACTTAAGTTGGGCGACTACGAGACAGCCTATAGCCACGATATGTTAGCAGTAAGGTGGCAGGACAAGAAGCAAGTTTGCATTTTGTCTACCTTTCATCAAAAAGCTGACAAAAGATCAACTGGCAAGAAAGACAGAGTTACCCAAGAAATTATAACAAAGCCAGAACCAGTGATCTACTATAATCGTTCAATGGGTGGAATTGACCGCGAGGATCAGCAATTAGCGTCGTTTCCTAGTATGAGGAGGTATGCTAAGGGATGCAAGAAGATCTTCTTTTACATAATGGACATTGGCCTTTTTAACTCTTATGTAGTGTTCAAAAAATTAACCAGAAAAAAATTGGGGTTCAGTGAGTTCAAGGAGAGGTTTGTCAAGCAAATGTTTGAGTCGCGACAACTGCCACCGTACAATCGAAGAGGACGATCATCCAACTCAGAAACACCTCTGAGGCTCCAGGCAGCAACTTGGGGACATTTTCCTAGGCCTATTCCTCCAAATGAAGTCAAACAAACACCTTCAAGAAGATGTAAGGTGTGTAGTGCCCAGGGAAAGCGCAGTGACAGCCGATGGGAGTGTGAGCTCTGCCTTGTCGCACTTCACATGCCAGAGTGTTTCAAGGCATACCACACCAAAATGAACTTTGCTTGACATTTGGTGAGTTTTTATAAGTGTCATACAGTATTATAGACTAGTTCCAAAACATATATGAGCCCTATGTAGCTAAAAATTACCAATAAAAAAGTTTTTTTTTAATTTTTTAATTTTTTTATTTTATTTTTATATGGTACTAGCTGTGTACCCGTTCTACGCACGGGGATCTTATAATATTCAGTTGAAACCTTCTTATATAACGAACAGCAGTTGGTTTGCATATTTTAAGATATGCTGGCCAAACTATTATACATAGCTTCATTTTATGTTGTTTTTTGTTGTTCCGGATCGGTATGACAATCAATAAAAGGTTAAATTACCTCTGTGTCTGCCGGTCGATCCTATAACGGTAGGCTTACTTTTATTTTTACTATCTGATCTCGTTTGCATGGCTCAATCACGTCCTGGTTGAAGTTCGTTCGCTACGCTCACTCACCTGTATGTTGGAGCTCGTTCGCTGCGCTCACTTTCCTTCAGGTTAGCTCGTTCGCTACGCTCACTTGCCTTCAGGTTAGCTCGTTCGCTACGCTCACTCGCCTCCAGGTTGCAAATTAGCTGTTGTCATAAATGTAAAAGAAATAATAGTGCTAGTGCTGCACCCTGTTGGTAATCCTTGTAACTTTAATGCTATTGAACATCACAGAACAGAACCAACTTGTTTAATTGAAACAGCTGTTAAGATTCAATAATTTCATTTCTCATAAGGTTAACATGGGCTTCCAGAAATTCCACGTCAAAAATCGACAAAAACTTGATTTTCAAGGGTTTACTGTTAAATATCTAACTGTCTCATATTCGATGAAATACGTCTAAAACCATCTCATATATGTATAGTATTTGGAAAATAAGTTTCAGGCGGGACAGTGCTATAGTTATTGAGGAGTAGTTGTAATAAAGTGCGTATTTTAGCGTTACCAAGAGAATGACAGATAGACAGACAGACAGACAGACAGACAGACAGACAGAAATTGAGATAAGGTTTGATTCGGTTTCTCTGACCTATGAAATGTAAAAATAACCAAAAAGTTCATTATTCTAAGCAATGTACAGACAAAACTCTAATTTTATTTATATAGATAATAAAAAATTATAGTTATATTTTTTTGGGAAATATTTATATATTTTGAATCTACATTTAATTTTGAATAAGAAAATAATAATATCTTGCATATAAATAGTAAATGTTGCCTGAAAAAAAATTAAATCAGAAATGAATGAAACTAGCCACAACAAATTCGTTTGTTTTGGCCTAGGCGGGTAAAAAAAAATCATAAGTGAATGGGTTAAAAATAAATACAGTAGACTCCCTCTTATCCGGACTCCTCGGGACCGAGGCCAGTCCGGATAACGGGTTTTCCGGTTAAACCGACGTCCCCAAAAACTCGTTAAAACAGACTGTTTACCGTGATATTCGACTTAAATTTAGGAGAGCGTTGTATTAAGACACGTGATCACTGGTCTCAAATCTTTCCCACGAGAACAGACGTTTCAGTACTGCCCACTTCCTGCCGATCTAGTCCGGTTAAACCAATGAGCTGATAAAAATTGTCCGGCTAAAGAGATGTCATTTCCGCCGAGTGTAGTCCGGTTAAACCGATGTCCGGTTAAAAGGTGTCCAGATAAGAGGGAGTCTACTGTATCATTAACCAATCATTTATGGGTTCAAAAATATTTATGCTTTGACTGGAAATTTTTAATTTTTTTAACAGATTTTATTAGATAGAGTCTGTCATTAGATAGAGCTCTGATTAAATATATTTTACTGACAATTTTCAGCCAAAGAGGACCAAAGAGGACGTCACTTCACTTGTAGACATTTGTTTACCATTAGTGCACTAAACAGTTTTATCCTCAAAGAACATAAACTGTGTGAAGGTTTATCAGTAAAATTAATTCACATACAGTTACTAATGGGTAGTATTGATTGTTCACAATAAGCATTGTATGTAGTGGAAGGAGAACAGAGCTCAGTGGGCCAGAGTGAGTGACAGTGTTACTGAGGTCATCCGCAACGCTACAGTCTTCGAGGTGCCCATGTCTGAAAACCTTATATCAGGTGAGTCATACGACATTCCACAGGAAATGTGAATAACCCCGCCGCAGCAACCCTGCAGATTAAGCGAAATTCCATCCACCTAGCTGGAATTCCATTAAATTATCCCCTTAAAATTGTTAGATTTATTTCCTATTTAAATATCATTAATTTTAATGAGTACGTAGGTTTGCTGCTACAGGGAGACAATTTTTTTATTGAAATATTGATAGCTTAGTGAAGTAAACAAATTTTCCAAATTAAAAAAAAAATATGTCCATAGACAAGCAAGCTACAACAGTTTATTTATTCTCCATAAGAATAACATGGATTTTTTTCTGTAACCGTTAGGCATAAAAAAACGCTTTAATATACACAATTGTTTGTTTTTTTGAGCTCAACAAAATGGTCTGGAAAGAAATTGCAAATTGTTATGTTTTCAGGGTGAAAAATGGGAAAAACCAATTTTTACCCCATAAAACCCCCCATAAACCCCTGTTTCCATAGTGATCATGTGATCATATGATCATGCTGGTTTGTTAACTCGTTTGAATAAATGTAGGTTTACACGTTTATACTAAATTTTATCAAAATCCTAAACATATATATATGAATTTGAACGGATGGTGTTTTGTGGCCTCTGGGGACCTCAAAACAAAACAGTAAATCGGTCCCGGGCCCAGGTCTTACAATGAGACCTACGGTAATAGCTTATTCCTTATTTTGGAAATTCGCTAAAAAAACTTTAACTTTAAACTTAACATGTTAAGTGAACATATAATAATTAATAGCTTTTGCCTATCTTTATATTCTTAGATTCCAAATAAATAATTAATCCTGGTTTCATCCCAGTCCATCTAATGTTTTCCTTTTTCTCTTATAACGATGAAATATGTAGGCCCTATGCCTAAACACTTGTGAGTAACCAGATACAATACGTTAAGTATGAACAATTTAGAGAATAAAAAACTTTACTGGGGAGAAGTACAATTTTAAGGTTATAAAACTGTGTAACACACAACTAGAAAGCTTACTCCTAAATTGATTTAATCTGCTGTGTGTTTTATTTTTTTTATCAATATCAATTACAACTCAGCAGCTCAATGGTTGTGTTTTGGGCTGATAAGTCCAGATATTGCTGGATTGAGACTGATTGTAACCACTGGGTTGCTTTAGTGAATACTGTAACAGTTCTTCACAATGTAACATCGTATAAAGAATTCAATTGAAGACACATACAGACTTTTTATTCTTAACCAATGACCAGGTAATGTGCCGGGTGCGGAGTGCTGGGAGTTATGTACAGAGCAGCTGGCTGAACATTATGAGCCGGCCTACGGAGGGTTCAGCCTCGCCCCAAAGTTCCCACAGCCAAGCAACTTGTTCTTCTCGTTCCACGTTTTCGCTCGTAAGCCATCAGAGAAAAACAAGAAGCTGCGAGACATGGTGCTGCACACGCTAAAAATGATGGCGAGAGGAGGCATACACGATCATGTGGGAAAGGTGAGTCTGCAATGTTTCCTGGGTTTCAGCAGCTAATATATGCTAAAGTTATTCGAAATCTGATTGAAATTTGTTTTTAAAATCTTCACGTTATAACTATGATACAGACCTCCTTAGTAGTTTGAGAAAGATAGCTAAAATGAATTGTAGGCCTATTCACAAAAGATAAATTTACCTCATTCTATACTAGAAGTTGTGTAATGCTTATGAATGACTAATCAAATGGTATTAATAACTTTTTTTAAGGATGTGTCTTCTTGTCACATCACGTCAACCTACTAGAAAGTTTCCTGTTTGGTAGCCAAATGGAAATTGGCAAGCAGGTCAAAAGCCAATCAATCTCAGTATCAAGTCAGAACTTTAAACTTTAAGACAAACATTGTATCCACTCTTCTACCCAGAACAAAAATTACACACTAAATTTGTTTAATTTATTGTTAGGCATTTGTCTGACAAAATATACACTTTGGTAACATATTTTGCATTATACTGAAATTAAGTTTAACAGATGTAACATACCAAGTAGATTTGTAGATGCAGTGTGTGTGTTGCTAGCCTAATGGTTAGCTTCTCAGACTTCAATAAGGTCTAGTTTGATCATCCATGCAATTTTGAGGTCTTAGGACCACTATTCATCCCAGCTGTAAGCTCTAATGTCATGGTCGGTTGGCAGGGGTTCGCTCGGTACAGTACAGACATGAAGTGGCACGTGCCGCACTTTGAGAAGATGCTGTACGACCAAGCGCAACTAGCAGTAGTGTACTCCCAGGCCTACCTGGCTACCAAGGACCCCTTGTACGAGGCTACAGTGAGGGACATCCTGGCCTATGTGGCTAGGGACCTGAGTCACAAGGTAGAGACAGTGTAAACAATGAGCTTGTGGACCAAAGCAAAGAGATGCAAAGATAGGATCTTTGCTTTGTAGCCAAACAACTTTAGTTTTATGGCTATAAAATTATTTGGTGTTTTAACCAGGGTTAAACAGACAATTTTCTTTAATGGGGTTTTCAGCATTGTTACTCAATGTCAGTGACAAATGTGAGGGTGGTTCTACCTTAACTGTTTGGCTAAAGTAGCATGGCTCATGCCATTCAACAGTAGTAGAATATACCTTTAGTGACAGATCAGTTGATAGAAATATACCTTAGTATATCAGTGTATAAACAGATTGTAGGTAAGGGAGACAAGCTCACTATTATGCCGATCGTCATAGGATAGGAATAAAACTGTATTATGGACTAATCTATGGATTGGTGAAACTAAACTGTAGATGAAATGTACTGCAGGTTTGTAACACTGTAGATGAACTGATCTTTGTAAATAGAGCTAAAATGTTGATGGTCTAAACCTTATATAAAAATGAAGAAACAGTAAGTTACACGAATAAAAGTTTAGGTGGATGGATGGATGAAAGGAATTGACTTGAAAACTAATATAGGTTAACATAAAAATTACTTTTGTTTATATTCACCAATAAATAACTCAACTAACAACCAACTGTCACAGGATGGGGGATTCTACAGCGCTGAAGACGCAGATTCTTTTCCCTCGAATGACAGCAAGGAAAAGAAAGAAGGAGCTTTCTGTGTATGGACTCATGAAGAAGTAACGAAACTACTTGGTCGGGCAGTGGAAGGCAAGCCAGATGTTAAGCTGGCTGAGGTGTTCTGCCATCATTACAATGTTCGGCCGGGTGGCAATGTTGATCCAAGTCAGGTAAATGGTCAAATTGTTTACACTTTTTGATTCATATGACATTGTTGTTTGGCTTTTTTTAACCAAATATTTTTTATATAAAGTTCGTCAAACCTCTTTATCTGTAGTTCACATTACAAATTTCACAGAAATCTATATGCGAAAAAAATTTAATACTTGTCCTCAATCCAACAGAAATCCAAATCCAAATCACACAGTGTTTTTTTAACTATGCCTTTTGGGGCATCCAAGCCACTGAATCCTTTTACAAATTGTAGCATTCAAATAATCTCACAGGGTGTTACAGAGAACTGTAAGCTTGGTATGGAATCATCCCCAGGGAAAATTTCAAAAAATTAACATTATTTAAATATACTGTAAACTTGCATTTTAAGGTAGTCTGGAGGCATAACTTAAAGGCAATCAAACTTTCATTCCTACTTTAGTTTTAGATTTAATGTATATTTTTCCCAAAGTAGAAGGGGATGTAGTGCCCATCCTCCTCTCTCTCTGGATCAGTTTGGCACTTAGGTACCTAATAATATCCTGTAACCCCTGCTAGCTAATCAATTCCTTCATGAAAGGCAATATTATTCTGAGCTGTGGTTGCAGGACCCTCACAATGAGTTGACCAATCAGAACGTACTGATGGTGGTCAGCACTGAGCAGCAGACGGCAGCCAAGTTCGGTCTAGAAGTGACCACAGTGCAGACAGAGCTATCACTTGCCAGGGAGATTCTGTACAAGGAGCGGCTTCTGCGGCCAAAACCTCACCTGGACAACAAAATATTGACTAGTTGGAACGGTACGGTACAGAAGGTTATTTGTAAGGTTGTAAGGTTATTTGTAATTTTAGTAAAAGGCACACTTAAAACATATCAATGTCCTAGTTCAGGAGTTGTATACTTTGGCAATTTTTATTCGTAAAAAAATCAATCCATTATCATTTAACAAATTTTTTTGTAAGTGGGTAAATGTTTAGTGTTACTTATTGTCTACCTCTGTCGGGCTGAAGAAAATGAAGATCAGGGGGTCTTCTGACATTTGGTTGTAAATTTCTTGATATACCAATCAAATATGCCTACCAGTAGAGGGTTCATTGGGTTTCCTTCTTCATATTAATATTTTGGCTTGGGCATTATTCTTTGGTGGAAGTATTGTTTTGGTGTGAAATTGATTTTTCCAAAGCTCCAGTTTTACTTTTATTGAAATCTATACTTATTTAATACGCAAGCAAGATTTTTGTGACAATTACTCCTCCGAAACTACTGAGCCGATTGCCATGTTTTTGGTGTCATTGGAAAGAGCGTATCGTGAAGTTGTGCAGGAAACTTTCTTTTTAGGGAAATAATTAGAGAGTGAGGCCCTGGGGCCCTTTAAAGTTTCGTATTTCTCCATAAGATTAACATGGGAAACAAACATTGTTTTGAAACTCCAGCTGTTATTAGAAATTCAATATTATTAATTGGTCTCCATGGAAGCATGAGAAAATTCACAATGTTTACATTTGCTTTGACATTTAAATGTAAACAACCAGAACTGTCAAATGCCTATTTCACAATTTCAGCCAGCTGATCCAAAAAAATAAAACAACTATGTGGCAGGTTTATTTAAAATTATACTTTATGATAGATTATCTTATCTTCCTATTTCCGTGTGATACGACTTCACACCTAGCAGGTACATGGAAACAACTTATTTTGCACTTATTTGTGCTGAAAAGATTGCTTTAATTTGCAGCACAGGTCGTCAACTATATTTGCATATCTCTCTGCTACCCCTCATGTCTTAGTCACGTTACCAAGGGATACCACGTGGCTGAAAGGACTAGTAGCGCTTATGTTAGGCAACATCTTTGTTTCATTGGCTACTTTTTATGTAATTTTTGTAGTGATGGCTCCCAAATGGAAAAAAGTCAATGGTTCGGAGACTTAAGCCTTAAACGGATTAATGTTATTACATAATTTTTACATTTTAATGAAGTTCTTTACATTTTTTTTTTATTTGACCTTGCCTTGGCTGAGGCTTAACTGTATTGTACCTAATTGGCCAATTTTGCAGGTCTCATGGTGTCTGGGTTTGCCAAAGCTGCTGAGGCTCTACAAGATGAGAGTCTTACAAAGAGGGCTATCTTAGCAGCTGAATTTTTACAAAACCATCTCTATGACAAAGCCAACAATATTCTATTGAGGAGTTGCTATACAGATGAGTATGGAAATGCTACTCAAATGTAAGTATTGTAGACTCCCTATTAAATGGAAGATTTGACAATTTACTACTTCTTACTTGTTTTCAATTGAATTTGCTAATGGAAACAAGCAGCTGTTTAGTAAATGATTCAATAGTTTCGTCAGTTAAGATTGTGTCAGTGTCCCTTATACTATCGATATGTTGAACTATTAAAATAAGGCAACAATTAACTACAGTCTATACATACCGGTACTTCCGATACATGTAATTGTTTACAATCAAACTTAACGATATTTCTGAGTTGACAACAGCTGATTTTTAATTTCTAGGGTCTAAAAACGCTTTTTACTCTCGAAAGTAAACTTTAGACCCGCAAGGCATGCATTAAAAACGGCTATTTTTACTGCAGTATGGTGACAAATATATCTAACAGTTATACAGCAGACTTTGATTTTAGTCAGGGACACTAAACAGCTGATTAGTTTGCTCTAATAATAGACACTTCACTGCATATCACAACTGAAAACTTCTTGACTGAATCTCATCTGATCTATTACAGTTTGCCACCAATCAGAGGGTTTTTAGATGACTACGCATTTCTCATCCAAGGACTATTGGACTTGTATGAGGCCAGCCTAGAGTCTAGATGGCTGGAATGGGCGGAGCAGCTTCAGAACAAACAAGACGAGTTGTTCTGGGACGTAGCGACAGCTGGATACTTCTCTACACCACACAACTCTGACCTGATACTGCGCCTCAAAGAAGGTGTGTAGCCCGTGGTCAGCATCTCACAACTCAGTGTGAAAGGGAAAGGTTCAATTACCGACATATCAAAATAAATTAAAGGGGTTTGGAGCGCTTTTCCTTAAAAGCATGTAAGTTGCTTTGATACAAAATGCCACTGGAGCTACCCATAGCAAAGTAAAAATATGTTTGCAGTCACATTGTAAATAATGCACAGAAGATCTCGCTTATCCCGTAAATCCACAATTGCATCACGTGTTGTCATCTGAAAAAAAAAATTTTTGCAAAACATTTTCTTTTTCTAAGTAGAGAGATTCCATAGTGATAAGTAGTTATTAGGCTGTTCGTCTGAGTATGTTTGAGGATGCATATTAAATGTGCTAGATTATCAGATGCTGGATTATAGGGGTGTTTTCATCATCTTTGGTCCCGAAACCCTAGTTCCCTGAACATACAAAGTGAATTTCCCTATAGGGGAAGGAGCTATTATGTAGGGAATGACCTAAACCTAGGACCACTTTACTTAATCATTTTAGTACAGTAGTCAACTACCGGTAACTTTAAAATTTGTATTGCATATCACAATAATTCAATTGTAAAAATGCTCCAATTTTAATGAAAATTTGGATCGATCGGGCAAAGTTACATCTATTTTAATAAACTTACAAATAATGAGAAATCTGGTTAAAAGATAGGGCATTTGCCAGGAATTATCAAGGAAATTGACATGAAAGCAGGCTTACATTTAAATAAGTCCATAGACACATATATACAACACAAAAGTAGAAATTTTTGTTTTAACACTGGAGAAATGACAAGGCAGTTGTAATTTGAATCTATTACACCTTGCCAGGGTTGCCAACACAGCTGAAGAGTCTAAAAATTGTTTTTACTGTTGCATATGTATAAATAATTTATGTTCACTCATTATGAATAATCCGCTGTATTTACTTCTATATTTACACTTGTTAATACTGTTACTATGAAATGGCGACCATACAAAGTAGGTATTTTAAGCCAAGTATGAATGGAGATGAGTGTAGGATGAGTGGCGCGATCTTGTAGTCTTGTTAAGGCCGACATTCCTTAGACACAGCTGTTAATTAATAGCCCATACAGCTAATGGCAACTAAGGGACCTACAGTTTATAGTGGAATCCGAACCACATTTTTTCCTTACATATATAAAGAATATACTAGCCTGCTATGAACTTTTCTCAAATGACATACTATAACGTAAGCTGTTTGCTATATGTAAGTCAAAATGGAGATTTTTATTGAGAGTCCCTTACCTCTTTTGCGAACAGTACGTGAGATGTGGCCACCGCGACGACAATACCAGTCATTGGGAAATGTATTTTTTTGTAAAATGCGTGTTATGATGAATGTTTTGTGTTAATATATTGTATTTATGACAAAGCTATTATAATGGGTGCTTGAAGATGTCACTGAGTTGAATAAACACGTTGCAAATTAGCAGCGAATAGGAATGACAGAAGGTAAACATAAATATTTATTCATATACGACGTTCCAATAGTGGGAAAAGAATTTTAACCGTGAGTTACACTGTGGATTATTTTAATGCTGTTGACAGACCAAGATGGTGCAGAGCCGAGTGGCAACAGTGTGTCTTGTCACAATCTGCTAAGGTTGGCAGCTCTGCTGGACAGACCCAAGTACAAAAACAAGGCTGCCAAGCTACTTGCGTCCTTCACCTCAAGACTGACCAGTCTGCCTCTGGCTTTGCCTCTGTTGACATCGGCTCTGATGTTATATCACGACAGCCCTACACAGGTCAGATATGTCCTTAGAAACAAGGGTATTTCAAACTAATTGACTTGCAATAAGTTCTAAAATATCTATAAACTATCTTTCTATTTTTGAATTATCTCAGGGCTGTTGTCAAAGGGAAAGAATTGCACTCCATCATGAGGCAAGTTCACATTTTCAGCTGTTTAAGATGTTCCTATTATTTATTGTTTTGGTTGATTATATCCCTAAATATGGAGAATGAGAATAAAATAATTCCATTCCCATGTTACAGTTCTTGGCAGTTCAGAATGAAAATCAGTGTAATTGAACTAAGCCACCGACAGATTGTGCTTTTGTACTGAAAAAAAAGTAAAAACTTTGAACCAGAGATTCCAGTTTAGTTGTTATAAATATTTGTTTGTAGATCATCATCACAGGCAAGATGTCTGACCCCAACACAGCATCACTGGTGAATGTGGTCCGCTCTAGGCTCGTATCAGGCAGAGTGTTGATATTAGCTGACGGAGACACTACCAGTATCTTGTACCGCAACAGCGAATCTATGAGGAGGTTGGTTGCAGCTATCTTTCTTACTGTCATTTTTGTTACTACACATACATATTTTTTATTTTGGAAGGATACAAAAAAATCTTACCTCTTAATGACACAACAGGTGATTAGGTGAGTTGGTGCTTCAGTGGGTTGCGTCACGGACTTCGGGCCCAAGACAGCAATGTTGTGGGTTTGGATCCTGGTCACTGCTGGTTCTTATTATCAGTACATTTCACCCTTTTACTGTACCGGCTTGCCCCTTGCTTTGCTACATACGTTCCACGCACATGCACATAGCCTATGTAGCCCACATAGGCCTGTTAAAAAAATAAATATAATAAAACAAATTTAAAGGAAGAAGAAATGGATACACAACTAATTTGCAAGAAAAGATTTTCAAGCAGTTAGCAACACCAAAGAGTAAGGTACAGAGGAAACATTCATTTAAAGGTACACTTAAGTGATGTCTTGCACTAGTGCTGGTGTCTAGTGCTAAGTCCAACACCGCCCCCTTCACCCTCATGTACTACAGTGCTCTCGGTGGAGGAAGATCCTGTGCCCTGTGTGATGTAGGAGTTCATGCATAGTGCTTGCTGCTCGGGCTCCTTCTTGCTCGGCACAACATACTTAAGCTCACTGTAGTCCCATAAGTGTTTCCTCTGTACCTTACTTCTCTGTGGCAGCACTCAAAAGTTTAAAAATACAACTACAATAATTTGATATTTTGCTACGACAAGTGAGCTTCCTCCTACTTTCCATCAGGAGAATCCCTTATACCAGGGTTAGTTTTTAGGGTTAAGATAGTTGTGTATCCATTCCTTTTCCTTAACATAGTTTTAATGTAGACATTTTTAGATGTTTTAGAATGAATATATTTTAAATCCTCAATTAAATATGCTAGTCAGTTAACTGACTTTTGGTCTGATTTTTGTTTCCATTTTCCTTATCATAAAAATGATACAAATATTAACAAAACAATAAAAATTGTCCTAAACATTAAACATTTTAGGGAAAAAATAAGAGCTTCCTCCTAATTCAGTTTATAATTAATTTATTAGCAAAGTTAATGAATTGACGGAATGTGTGAGTCCAATAACTGATGTTTGTTGTAGGTTGAAAACTCCCTCCAACAACCAACAGAGTGCGTATGTATGTCGCAACCACACATGTGCGTTGCCTGTGCAAACAGCCCACGACCTTGCGTCACTGCTAGACTCAGCCAGTCATTAGATGACACTGTGTAGAGGCAAATTGAAAATATCTTGTAACAACTAATTGTATAGTGATGATTTAAGGTAAACGCACCAGTAGCTGACAGTATAAGAAACTATACGCACTTAATAATCCGTGGTTTTGAATAAAAAGGAACTAAAGAGATATTACGGATTTTATGTGATTCTAAATTTAGTGTAGTTTTCAAATTTGTCATACAAAAAGGGGTTTTTAAATATATTTTATAACATTTTTAAACTTAATTCAACCTTTGTACGTGTTCCAGTGGCTGACAGTGAAAAAAGTGCTTGTGCCAGTAGCTGACTGTCAGTTGTCCCAGTAGCTGACACTGGAACTATAAATGTACTATATAGGGCCTACTATATAGCTGCTAAACCTAAGGGTTTTATAATTTATAAGACGAATAAAATCTAACTTAATAATTAAATTATAAAATTATGTAAAACGTTATGAAGAAAATTTATTTGATATATTTTAAAATAAAAAATATTTACATTAAAAAATATATATATTTAACAAAAAATATTTTTTTAAAGATAATTTGGCTTATTAATTAAAAAATTTAAATCATTTTATAAAAATATGAGATCGCATAAATTATAAATAGCATGCAAATTTCGATGGGTAAAACCAATTTAATATTGTGCAAGCAGAAAATATCCCCCTGTCAGCTAGTGGAACTTGTATGGCTTTTGTGTACCAAAGCCTGACATTGATATAATTTTAAATCCAAAACCCCTAACACCCCAATTTTATCATGAAATTGTCAACAAAGGTATAATTGATAAAAATAATGAGCCTAATCATTAGTACTATTTAAGAAATTTTGCAAAATGACAAAAACCAAACTTACTTTCTTAACAATTTCATTAAGGGAATCGCCTTAATGTGATATGTACAGACAGGGTCGCTTTCAAACCACCACCATTCAGCGAGTATGGGCTAAATTTCACTGAATTTTTTGTGAACAAATCAAGAATAAACATATGTTCTTCTAACAATGCAATCATGTGTAAATATTTTTAAGAGACCACATTATAATGTTAAGAAACTCAAACTGTCAGCTTCTGGAGCACTGTCAGCTACTGGTGTATTTACCTTAATTTGACTTTTTCTTTTTACACTTAGTTTCTGCATAAGTTTGACTTCAAGTTTGGTGAAATAGATTAAGCCAATATTATTAAATAAGAACTGAATCGAATGAGCCACTGAGTGTGCTAAAGTCCAAGCATTTGTTTCTCACATTTTTTTTCTATACCGTGTTAGTTTATGCAATATAAAAGATCCTTTATAGTTTACAAGAAGTTTTTCTTTCTGTTTTAATTTGTCAAGAGTTGATGTGTTCGACAGCACACTCTGCCTGTGGCTACATTCATTTACATTTTAAAAACTCGTTACAACTATAACACAACAATGAATTATCTAGTGCTATCAGTTAAAGGTTTGTTTATACCTACGGCCGTTTTTTTAACTAGCCGTTTCAGTTCAGTCCTTAGAATTGAAAAGATACACTTAACAGCATTGTTTACTTACTTAACAGCATTATTTGTTTACTTAACAACACTGGTAACGGACCAATGAGTTTCAAGGATTAAGAGAAAAACAGTAACATTTTAATGCTTCGTACTTCAACTAATCAGCTGTTCAGGCCAATTTAATTGTTATTGAGTGGTGCAATTAGTTTTTGGCACAATGCATCACTCTTAGTGGCAATGAAAGATTATAAACGAAAATGTAACCTCTCGTAGTAGTTATGAGTAGTGATTGTTAGTAATTAAAAAACTGTCTTAGGTAAAGTAGTGTACACAACTCGCGTAAATAGCCTTAACGACACTCGTAAAGGGTTTTAAGGCACTCATTAAGGCTTGTAAATTTCTACTCGTGTCGTTAACACTATCTTTACTTGATCGTTGAGTTTTTGTGTAAACTACTATTACTATTAATTTACCAGTACCTTAACTATCAGCTTTGAAATGTGCATACCAATCGAAAATAGGCTAAATTATTTTTAACTTAAATTTTTAAAGTAAATGCTGTTACTTGTTATTTTGTAAGGCGAAAGACACATTTGTGTATGATTTGCAAGTCTTTTGTTTCAGGCCATACTAGGATATTGAAAATAATCTATAACAAACAGATTTTTATCTTTTAGCTGTTATTAACATACTACCGGTACATTTAGTTTAGACTAAGTTTATATTGTATTATTGTATTATATGTAAAAATTTTATTTTGAAATTGTAACTTTTATCATTATTGTAAAAGATTGAGTGAAAAATCATAATACTCCAGGAATTGTTATTGATCTTGTAGCCCCCACAAGTTTTAGCTTCAGTTTATTTCTATATTGCAATTATTTTGTTTGACTAATATTGCAATCCTTTAAGTTGAAAGGAAGATAACTCAAACTAAATAAAAATGCTGTCTTTGTTTCTCAAGACTAATTATATTTATAACAAATATTTTAATGCAAGACACTCTTTTAATGTGTGTGTATGATAAGTTTTACAAGTTTTAACATTTAAATATTATGTACAAAATTTAAAAATCCTACCAACTAGGAAATATCTGTTGAGTATACGTTACAGGTCTCCTATCATTCATCCATTTAATTAGATTAAGTTTGCTCTCTTTGTTTATTTTAATCACTTTGTATACGTTATTGTTTCATACGAAAAGTGTGTAAAACTTATATGCTTATTTATTTTTACAATATTATTCAAAGCTATTTATTTCCTGTATTATGTAAATAATATTTATGGTGAGTTAGTATTTCCTTGTAAAAATTTTAGATAAGCATTATTTTATCAGGGTAACTTAACAATGTGATAGCAGAAAATGTGTGTGCGGTTTTGATTGTTTTAAACTTGTTTTTTAGATTTGTGTGAAACTTGAGGGTTGTGCTACGAAATGTGATGAAATGATTACCATGTTGTTGTTGTTGTTGTTATTGTTGTTGTTTTTTCTTTGTATAAGATAGACAATACTGTAATGACATGTCTGTATGGATTTCAGTAAATGCAAAACTACATAGTAATAAATTGTTATATTTTTTCTCTTATTAATTTTAAATTGTGAAAATATGAATGTTTAAGTACAATGCAATACTCTTTAAAAACTTTGGTTACTTACACAGATAAAACAGAAAAATAAAAACACTAAAACTATTTCAACATGGTTAAAATTTGTAGAATCACATTGCTAGATTTTACTCAGCAGTAAGATTAAAAGAATGTGCTGAATATAATTTATAGCAAAACAATATAAATACAAGACTTAAAATTTAGTCATGACCCCATGTGCATTTTTTACTACACTGAATTATTGATGTTAGGCAAAGAATAACTAAAACAAAAAAAATCTATGAATCTCAATTGTTTTTACAATTTTTTTTGCACATCAAGATTAATTTACCCCATTTAGAAAATGCTCACTTGGCAAAGTATACATCACAAAATATCAAATTTATTTCTCATTATATCCACAGCAAAATAAAATTATTACTGAAATTTTATTTTTTTACATTATGCAACCATGGGATTCTGTGATACTCTTTGTTATTTTTTGTGTTGTTTTTCTGGTAAACAAAACTGGTAAGGATCTGAATGTTGAAAAAGAAAGATGAAGAATGTTGTCATTAGTTTCATAGCAATAAATGTTTGAAATGATTGGTTGATTGTTGCTGACCTTGTGCTTTATTTTCCACTAGAATATTTTATGAAACCTCTTTTGACTATTAAAGTAGAAACTAGGCTATCTAGGTTGATGTTTTGTGCCAAGGTAAAAGTTCCATTTCTTTTATTTTTAGGTTTCCCTGTTAATACGTAAGTGTTACTAATGAATGTTTGGGGAAAACATATTGTTTAAAGTTGCAAGTTTTAACACATCAATTTTGATGGATAAGAAAAAAAAATAATACTAAATTAAGTCAGTGGTCCTTATTTTTCTTTTTCTTTTAATTTAGAGTCAGTAGTATTACCTTTTCCAATAAACATTCCAAAAACCACCGAATTGACAATCTTTTAATTTTAAAGTATGGTCTATTCCTATTGCCAATCAATTTGGTTACTACATTCCATGGTAAAAACTAATAAACCTTGTTTTGAACTTTTATGTCGAGATACAATAAGAGTGTGACAAAGTCAACTAAAATTTTTTTTTCTAATAAATGTTACAGTGTGTTTATTAGATACAGTACCTACCAGAGAAAATGTAGCAGTTAAGTTACTGTATATATTTTGTGAAAATTATCTTATGCTTAGTTACTAACAATATAACATCGTAATCAGCAAAATACCTGTAATTAATTTTACAAAAGTAAATAAAAATACATCTAATGACACTTGAATCATATATTTACTCTTATTCTGTTTTAATAAGATGGCTAATTCGCATAAAAGGTGGTAGTGGTGATACTCTCCATCATTTTTCAATAAATTACATTTTTATTTAATAACAATAATCAAATACTAGAGATCGTGTAGTGGTTGAAAACTCAACCAAAAATATCTAATGTACAGACTTCTCAATTTTCACCCCACGCTGTAAATAAAACGTGATAGGAATTTCTTCCATTTGTTTTGATTTTCTGTTTATATTTTGTTGTTATTTCGTCGCCAGTATGGCAACCCATAGTGTCCATTATAATTTTTTTTAATTTTAAATTAATTTATTAGCCTATTTTAATTGTAATTTATAAAGGGATTCTGCATACCTACAGGAAAATATCTTTCTATAACAGTATGCGTAGATTTTCCCTACGATGCACACGAGCTGAGAAAAAAGGTTTTAAAGAAACATGCTTGCCTATTAATATATAGATACTATATTAATTTTATACTAACACACTAATACTAATAAAATTAATATGTACTAGACGGAAACACACATTAAAATATTGTTGTTAGCTGATTGAGGGTGACAAAATGTATTATAAGGAACTATGTCAAATATAGGCCTATGTTATTTCTTATAATCTTTATGATGGGAAAGAAAACTATTAAAAAGACCATTTAAAGTCTATAACTTCTGATTCAACAAGAAATAGACCACCAGTCAGTTTTTAAACAAACCAAAGTTGGTAGTTTGAAAGTAATAAGCCCAAACAAAGACTTTGTAAGGCAAGAAGTACAAATAGGTCAGGGGTGGGTGTTGGGGAGGGAATGTTTTGACAAACACACACCCAGACAGCCATATTTTATAAATCTCAGACCCATACCATTGGGTTCTCTGAAGACTTTCACACTATTGTTCTATGAAATATTTCATCAGCCTGAGGCAAAGTTTCGATGAAATTATATCCAAAGATTGCTTTTGCAAAAACAAATAATGTTGTGTCTGTTGCATAAAAGAAACATGATTTTATTTTATTGTAATCATTCACAGAAGTTCTGATGTTGTTTTTCAGATATTAAACTTATACAAGATGAAGACATACTTTATTGGTTTGGTTTGGCTTCTATCGTCTAAATTATATATTGTGCTAAATGGTAATCTATCTATCTATTATATTATTAAAGTGATACAATCAAATTTTATGTAAACGGTTAAGGCCATTTACCAAATACAAATATAGGCATATGGCACATCAAAATGAAGCTTAGAGTGTGTAGATTTGCCGAAAAGTATTATTGATATGGACGAATTTCCTAAGGGCTCTGCCCCACAGGCTGTTTTCCAAAGGGCTACGCCTGGCATGCTTCCTAAGTTTACATGATTTAATTTAATTTAGTTAATGAAACAGCTGGTCAGTACAATGAACTGGTGTTTGTTTATTTACTCGAAAAAGATGTTTGTGATGCTTTATGTCGATTTAGGAGGGTTATGTTTGGTTGTAAAGAAAGTTTGTACACGTTTTGTAAAGAATTGCTCAAATTTTCATTTGTAATTTATATAGTAAGCTACATATAAAGAGGCTGACTAAAGTTGAAGAATTATGGTAAAACATGTCATTCGTGAAGCCTCAATATGAAACAGTTGATGCTATTGCTACACTAAAGGTATGTTGTCATATTCTTTTGGATCTATTAACATCAAAAGTAGGGGTTTAAAAGTAAGCAGGTTTACACTTTTAAATCAGTTTATATTTTCAAACTAAATCATAGAGTTGCCGTATTTTAAAACAGACATCAGAATTACTTTAATAACTCTCTAGGTCACATTTTCTTCCCGTTGCAAAGCACGGGTATAACAGCTTGTACTTATTTAATACGCAAGCAGGATTTTTGTAACAATTACTCCTCTGAAACTACAGAACCAATTGACATGTTTTTGGTGTCATTGGAAAGAGCGTAACGTGAAGTTGTGCAGGAAAGTTTCTTTTTAGGGAAATAATTAGAGAGTGAGGCCCTGGGGCCCTTAAAAGTTCCGTATTTCTCCATAAGATTAACATGGGAAAACCGAAATTTCTTAAACCATGTCCTCACTCATAACTGCTATAAGCATTTGATACTTATATGCCAACCCCGTACGAAGGACGGGTACTCTGCTAGTCTATTATAAATCTATTTCAATGATTATGAAACAGATTTTTCCCGTTGCGATCAAAAATTAATAGTGAGAAGAAGAACATATGTTAATTGTAAACAGTCAATGTGTAAATTATCTATGTTGTATTACAAATGTGTATAGTTTTGGATGGTTGTTTGTGTTTAATGAAATAAGTTATTAGTTATTAAATTTTTATTTTAAGGATTTGGCATATGAGTAAGCCTCCCAGACAGCACACTTTATCCCAGGGACATCCCATAGTAGTCCCATATGTCCGGAGAATGTCTCGGGATATGTACGCTAGCCTCAGGATACCCCGCAAAATCCCGGAACGAGTACGAAATCCACAGGATATCCTACAATATACCGTAATGTCCCGGGATTTGTAAGTTAACCTCAGGATATCCTGTAAAGTCCCGGGATATGTACGAATGCCATAGGATATCCCAGAATGTCCCATGACATCCCGGGACATGTACAAAATCCACTGGATATCCTGTAATGTCCCGTAATGTCCCGCGGTAACAAACTGAAGAAAAAACTACTACCACTAATGAAATGTATATATAAATTTAAATGTTCAAAGGGGCCAATATATAATAATTTGTTTTATTCACTAGCGCTTTCAGAAACTAGGTTTCCATCTTCAGGCTGTTTTTACACTAGTACAAAAAGTAAATATTTACTTAATAAATTAATTTTAAACAAAGTTAAAACAGATGATTTAAAGGATATCGGAAAAATAAAAAATGATATTAGACAAATTAATCTTTTGAATTTTGGATATACAGTATTACAGTGTTGTTCTTGATGTAATTATTTTCAGTAATTCTGAGTTTATAATTGGGCCACCTTCATTATTTAACAAATAATTTTGGTCTGTTTTTTCTATAGATTCCCACGCATTAAGATGTTGAGGTTTTATAATTTGTTTTAAAAGTTTAAGGTTTCCCAAATTGAAAATATGTCTTGTTAATATTGTGGCTAGCAAGGGCTGACTTTACTTTACTGACATATTACTACCACTGAGTTAAGGAAAACTAGAGTTCTATCATAGTTGTGTGAGATGTGTATTTAATTCTAACTTTAAATTAATAAAATAATCTAAAACTAATTTTAATCATATAACAATCAATTATAACAGTGCTAATCTGATGGTAATTAAATAATCTATATTCAAATACCAGTATCCTCTCCAACTACCAGAAAACAATTCAACTACTTGAGGCCTAAACAGATTAACAGAATCATATTATATACTGTAGTATCAAATATATTTTAAGTATTTTGCGACCATTGCAACTGTTGGCTACTCTTTGACCACTTGAAAACTCACATAATCATTAAGCGGGATAGCTCAGGAGGTAAGGTATGAGGCTCATAAGGTGAAGGTACCAGGTTCGAGACCCGCTTGGGCCAAAAACTTTTTTCTAGTTTTTTTCTTCAAAATTTGTGTTTATTAACTATTTAATCAATTTACTCAATTGATAATTAAGCTTTTCATACTAAATCTATATTATTTTGTGTTTTTTATGTTCAGGCCCAGACCACACTTTTATCCCAGCGTCATCCCATAGTAGTCCCATATGTCCTGAGGACTACCCTGGGATGACCTCGGATGTCCCACGGATATGCTGTGAGCTTATCCGTAGGATATCCCTTGGCGGGGACATTACGCATTCCTGCGGATATCCTGGGATATCCCAAGTTGACCATAGGACTACTATGGGATATCTTGCATATCCTGTCGCAATATCCGTGGGATGTCCTGAGGAGAAAGTGTGCTGTCTGGGCTTTGATAAATAACACCATTTCAGAGTTCAGCCAGTTTTTGCCTAACTCTGTCCTGTAGAGTTTAAAGTAGCCTACACCTTATTGTCTACAAATTGGCTAAATAACTTAGGTACGGTACTTGATAAAAGCTGACAGCCTTTTCACGTTGACTTAAATTGTAAGCATACCTTTTCCCGTCCATGGGCAGTTTGATTGTTAACAATTCACCCTTTAAACTCGAATAGGACTGTTATGTAAATTAATTGTGAGTATTTCCATTGGTTAATAATCTTTTAGTTGACTCTTTTAAAATCATTGGAAATTATGACTGTTATTAGTTTTAAAACAAGTAATTTGTTTATAAATAACTCCTGTAATTGCTCGATTTTGAGCAACATGTACACTAGTACGT